CACAACATATCGAAACGTGTTGTTACCATCTCTGATAATTAACCACTCACTGATGATGAACGATTATACTCTCTAAAGGACTCTCCTATATTCTTGTTCAAAAACATGTGGATGTGTTTCAACTTAAATCAGACATGGAGCAGTACTACAGACGTTTGAGGCTTAAGGCGCACTTTTTGGATAAGGATCCCACTAATGCAGTTAAGGACGAAGGTACTCAACAAAAAAACCATCTACCAGGACACCTCCACATGGCAAATTCACAGAACCCGAGCTATATCAATAAATGTAAAAGAGAGGTCGACAGCCTGAACTGGAAACAACGTTGCAAATGCAATCTAACTCCTAATGAACTCTCTGCTCTTAAATCTTTGAAACATATTCCTGATTATGTTATTAAGAAAGCTGACAAAGGTGGAGCCACAGTTGTTCGGAGGAAAGACTTGTATATTGCTGAGGGCGAAAGATAACTCTGACCATAATGTTTACCAACTACTCTCTAGCGATCCTACTGTTAATGATATTGAATTTGTTAAGAAAACCATCAATTCTATGATTCAGAAGAACGAATCGACAGCGAATATTCTTATCAACGCAGATGCATCCTGTCATAATTTTTATATTTTACTATAATACACAAAAAAGACAATCCCGGCAGACCTATCGTATCAGCATGTAACGCACCCACGGTAATTATCAGCGAATTTCTTGATAGAATACCCAAACCCTTAGTCCAGAAATTACCTTCATACATCAAGGACAGTAAAGAAGCGGTTAAACTATTAAACGATTTTCAACTTAATACTGATAGTCGCTATAAATTTACGATGGACGTTGTTTTACTATATACATCGATTCCCATTCAGGACGGTCTTCTTGCTTTGCAATACTGTCTTGAACTGGATCACTCCACTAAGTACACCTCATTTGTTATTTTACGTCTAGCTGAACTGGTCCTTACTACTACCGCATTGAATTTCAACGGAAAGTACTATCGTCAACTGTCAGAAGTGAGTATGGGAAGTAAGATGGCTCCTAATTTTGCTTGTCTTTGTATGGGTCAATTTGGAACACAATCTTCTGCAATCATTTAAAGGGGAAAAACCTGATATTTTCAAGAGGTATATTGACGACTGTATTGGCATTACATCTGGCTCATTAACTGAATTGAATGATGTTATAACCTACGCCAACGGCTTCCATCCAGCGATAAAATTCACTCATGAAATATCCGACAAATGTGTGCCATTCCTTGACATCATATTATCCATCAATAGACCTGGACTTTCTACATCAATCTACTACAAGGACACCGATGCCCACACATATCTCTACTACAGTTCTTCACATCCTCCGACTTGTAATAATGCTTTACCCTATTCGCAACTGGTTAGACTCAGACGTATCTGCAGCGATGACGATGACTTCGAGTATAAAGCTACAGAAATGAGACAATTCTTCAATGCTCGTGGTTATCCTTTGAACGTAACTGGCAGGTCACTTGAAAAGCTCGACTCACGCAGAAAGACACTCTACAGCCGAATCACAACGCCAGTAATATTGAACGCATTCCATTGGTACTATACCTATCATCCGATTAGTAAGAAAGTGGCGAAAATTGCTAGAGACAATTTCAGTATCCACACAGATGACAGATCTAGCACCAAGGACATTTTTCTAGCGCCTCCTATGTTAGCTTACAGAAATGATCGCAATCTCAGTGATAATTTAGTAGGCTCTAAGCTACGACCAGATACCACTACTACTAATGACTTCATAGGTACTTTCAAATGTGGTAGAGATAGATGCACTACCTGTAAATATATACCATGTACTGCTTGTATCACTGGACCCTATGCTGACTTTCATGTTGAAGATCATATTTCTTGTACTACCAGGAATCTCATTTACTGTGTTCATTGTATAAAATATAACATGTTGTATATTGGTGAAACCAAGCGTAGATTGGGAGATAGATTTGTGGAACATTTACGTTCTATAAAACTTAGAACACCTGGACTCCCATTTGCTGCTCATTTCTCTAATAACCATACACTTTCTGATATAATAGTCACAGGCGTTAAGATTTGTAACAGTTCAGACACACACACAAGATCAAAATCAAAGCTATACAAAACTAATACAGTACTGAAATTTTACTTAATAATCAACAATTTCACTTATATTTATTGAGAATTTTGATAATGGTTAGTACCGGAGAATTTCTCAAACGGTTAGTGCTGCCAAACGGGTGTTTTTCATCACATTTTTGTCAACCCAAAATTAATTGTTTAAATAGTGTATGTTTAAAGCCCTGTCCACATTATCACATTTTATAAAAAAAAAATACATTGATATGCCAATTGGGATGATATTGACGTCATCAACCCCATCAATGTGATACGACATCGTGACGATATAACAGTGGGCAATTCACAGAAATTTGTCACATAAAAAAATGATAGTTTGGATAGCTTTATATGCTCATTGTTGATCAAATCCTGCCTTGCTAATGTTTGAACACCTGTATTACATCAAAAAAATTTGATCATACAGTTTTGAAGTTTGACAGATATAAAGTGTTTATTTATTTCCAGGAAACAGTGTTGACTGTGGAACACCAGTGGTTACCAAAGGACAGATTGTTGGCGGCACCAAAGCAAAGCCAGGAGCATGGCCGTGGCAGGTTCTGTGACAAACTATATTAATTCAAAGATGATAGTTGTATTTAGGCCTATACATAATTATTATTGAGATTAAACTTAGCTATAGGCACAGCACCACGATTTCGGAGACAAGATTAAACACAAACCTAAATAATGGTAAGGACACAAGGTCGATACCCCTTCTAATCTTCCGTTGCCCTACAGACATTGGCCTAAACTTATGTGTATAATTCTGGAAATTACCTATAATAAATAATTCTGTACATTAATAAGTAAACATCAAATAAAATAATTGAAATATTTGAAGATTATTATATATTGTATATTTATGCAGGTTCAAATAACGAAGTTATCCGGTGGTCATATCTGTGGAGGATCATTGTTAAATCGACGCTGGGTTCTTTCGGCAGCTCACTGCTTCGCAGCGTGAGGATTATTAGCCTTATCTTCTTACTGCTTATTTGCATTTCAAAATTTAATACCATTAATGTAATACCAGGGAACAGTGGTAATACCGTACCACTTTGTAAGTCAGTACACTAGTACTTAAATTGCCTACAGTATAAATTAAAAATATATTAATAAATACTCATCTATAATTAATATCATCATTACTATTAATTTTGTACTATTTATTTTAATCAATTTATTTGCTTCAAATGAGATGGTACCCAACAAAGTAAAATCTTCCACGTAGGCCTATTATAAAGAATTTTGAATAGGCCTACCGTTACTATAGTACTATTAGTATTGTCATAAATAATGTTAATGATGACGTTATTATTATTTTTTAATAGGCATATTGTCACTACCATATTGCTGATTATCTTATAGTCAATGTATTTACTATTGATAGCGAACCTTGTCTTGTGAGACCTCATTATTATTGTTATAATTTGTATTAGGTTTTATCGTCGTCATCATTATTATTCCATTCATAATGATTACTACTGTTATTAACATTATTTGTATAATTAAATAGCTTTAATATAATTAGATATTGCTACTACATCATAAAATCTATGATGTTTAATATATTGATCAAAACATTATTATTTTTATTTTATCTGGCAGTGAACCTTATGCATCATCGTACAAATTACACCTCGGTAGTTACAATAAATACAGTGAAGATCTTACTGAACAAGTTCATCAAGTGGATTCTATTATTATACACGATCAGTATAACATCGGTTATGTCTACGACTTTGACATTGCTTTGGTTAAGTTGAAAAAACAAGTTCAATTAACGGACTACGTTCGACCTGTTTGCTTACCCGATGGCAGTGACGTTTACATGCCGGGGACTGTATGTTATGTAACAGGATGGGGCGAAACGAAAGGTAAGTTTCCCATAAATAGCGGATTCAGGGAGGGGGAACGCCCGGATCCGCCCACTATAGACAATCTATCATGTAACCAATTAGTTATACTCGATCACTAAATGTATATTACAGATTTCAATGATGTGGTCTATAATGGATTAATTAGGTTTGTGTAAGGAAAAGATATACAGGGAATGGCATATCGGTAGAGAACAAGATACGGGAAGTAGGGAAGAAGATGAGGGGCCGGGATAGAAAGTGATGCCATGGGAAAATGAAGGGACGAAGATGGGAGATAAGAGAAGTGAAGGAACCGGAATATAAAGGAAGGAAAAGAGATGGGAATTAGCTAGTGGGGGAAAACGATCATAAAGGTAAGAAAATGGGAGGAGTACGTAAACGAAATGAGGTAATGGAAGGGAAGAATATAAGAGGAAGTGGATAGCAAAGGAGGGAGAGGGACGGGGAAGGAGATACTATAAGATAAGGCATCGGAATGAGATATGCCTACAGAAAGGGAATAATGGCATGAAGTTCGGGCTCTATACAACCCTGGGGATAGGGGACGCCTGGACAATATACAATATCACTAGCGGTGGCGCTAGAAACTTGCTGACAAGGGACCCGACTTGTCCGACGGAGGGGTCCGAACCATGGTCGACGAAGCCTCGGTCGACGGCCCGGAATAAACAAAAAATCCTGTTAGGGTTCATGGGGAGAGTTTTATGGATTAATTTGGTCCTAATAGTGCTTTTAGACCACAATATTAGGGATTAGCAAGCAAAATAGCGTTATTTGGATAGGCAAATTATTATTATTTTTTTAATTTTTGTTCCGACAACTTAGTCGTTCTTCAGTCGACAGGGGGTCCAGGCCTGTCGGACGGGTGGGCAAATGCCCACACTGCCCCCACCCCCACCCGCTGGCGCCACCACTGAATATCACATGAAGCACCATTTTTTGTATATTATCAATAGGAACGGGATTCGAAACTGTTTTGAAAGAAGCAGGAGTACTACTGATACAAGACCAACTGTGCAACAGTACAGACTACTACAATGGAGACATTTCACCACGCATGATGTGTGCTGGCGACGATGGCGAAGACACTTGTATGGTAATTATTATCATCACTGTCGTAATGATCATCATCATTTCTATTTTTAATATCAGATCATAATTACACTATAATAATTTAAAGATGATAACTAAATGCAATGATGATCTAATAGTTGAACACCATGACAAAAAAAATTACTGTACTTGATGATGGCGATATATACAGTGTGTATATCGTGTAGTATAGACAGTGTGATAAAAAAAAAAGTAGACGTAAGGACAAGATTAAGGATGATAGCAACAGTGGCGTAATGGTGAGGGAAAAGTGTTTGGGCCGCATCATACATTTCAATGGAGTTTTCTCCCACAACGTGGTCAAGTCCAGTGAATATTTCAGAGTCCTTCCTAACAATACCGATAAAAATATTAGGGATAAGAAGATCGTGGTCATAACCATGATGACGACAGTTATGACCACAGTAATGGAGGACACGATACAAATGGAAGCAACATGTATAATCTGTTAAAAATACAATTCCAATTAACTGATGTTTCAAGAAAATTTGTTTGACCATTCGTAATATATCTTCTCATTTTACAGGGTGATAGCGGAGGCCCATTAGTGTGTCACAGTGATGGGGGTGCATGGGATCTCGTTGGCATAACAAGTTGGGGAACAGGCTGTGCAGATGCATTTAAACCTGGCGTTTACACCAAAACATCCCACTTCCTAGATTGGATAAAGAACAAAATAAATGAAAATATGTAATTACAACTCACAGTTAAAGCATAGTTACAACTTCTATTTAAAGTGTAATAATTATAGTACAGTAATAATAATATTAATTTAAAAAAAATTATGATGATTAAGTCATAATGTGATCATTATTCACCTTGATTTTGAATGTATTATCTTGAAAGTACCAATATGTTGAAGAAATAATCAAAAATATTTCAGGAAAATGTTGTCTATTATACTTAAATTACTTGTGTATTAAGGTATAAGGGATTCAGTTCTGCTTTTTAAAAAACGGTCCTAGTGAGTTGAATGAGATAGATGATAGTGGAGGAAGAGGTAGGGAGCAATGCCTCTCCATTGGATAGAGAAAACCCACAAATTGCCGGCCGAAGAAGAAACAAATCTAGTTTGTATAACTAAAATCGATTAAACCAGCCTTTCAATTCCCTAAATCCCCGGTATTCAACCCCCAGCTCTCCAAAATATTTTGATGTGGCCCGCGCAAATTTGCATTTTTTTCGGCCAATATTCAGTACTTGTAAAAACAAAGGGTGCTGAAGAGAGTGTCTTGACCACGTCAACATCACCATGGTTGGCGCTGCGGTACGAATATTTTCAGTATTTTGTACATCTGGATGCCGGGAAATGGAACTTAAATTACATTTTTAAATTATTTTTTCATTATTCAATCATCTATATTACAGTATCCTAAAACAATCAAAAAGAAAAGTTAAGTCGAGTTATATTGGGATTTTTCATCAGAAATATAAAGTTTGTATTGGTCACTTGCATATAATGTAAGATTAAGCTAAATGATCGTCACAAAGTGGGACCCAGAAATTGTATATAATGGGGGAGGGGGGTTGTTTCAGGGAAGATCGTTTCACAGATGGAGAGTCTAGATTAAATTTATGATTATGGCACTTCTAGATGGCCGGAAATTGCACCATAAGACTTAAAATTTGAATATAATTTGTTTTCTTGAATTTTTGAAAATTTAGGAGGGGGTGCTGGGCCCCCTTCGAATCCGCCACTGCACAATTGTAATTTCCGGAAAATTAAAAACAAAATAAAAACCATAAAATACTTGCTGAGTTAATAAGCCATAGATTGTACTTCAGTCTAAAAGTATTAAAATAACTAATTAATTTTTGAGTATTTTAATTAGTGAGAAACTTTTTTCGTTCCAATTTGGATTAAAAGATAACGTACTAAATCTAGAAAATACGAATCAAGCAATTAAAGTGTTGATAAATATTGTTGATTTTTTTTTTAGCTTTATCAAGGGATTAGCCCATTTTCTGTTTGATAGGAAATAAATATAAAAGGTAAAAACTCTGAAAGACTTGTTGAGTTAATTCAATATCAATTTATAAAAAAAAATACCCCCAGGCTGGGGAAGGTAAAATATATAAAATACAAATTATAATGATATAATAAAATGTACTAATTATCTAATTATATATAGAAGTAAAGTATTATTATCCACATAACAATTTACCTTATTATCCAAAAGGAATACATTACAAAGACGCCTGCAAGCGATTTTTTTAACTGGTGGCTGGTCTTAATAATATCTATCTATGTTTATAACATTTTGGAATATAATAATATTCGATTTTTTTGAAGCATTGACTAACTTTCAGTTGTTTTGAATGTATGCTATTTTCCTTTGATATTATTACAACTCTAAATGCGCTCATATTCACAAGGGTTTGTATCACTGCTTGTATTTCTTGATTTTCTTTATTTATTTACGATATATCTAAAAACCATTATGCTATTACGGTGCCAAACACATTAAATTTTAAAACACACCTCCATTGTTCCAGTTAGACCTTAGCTACTATTGCTAACTATAGGGATTTACAGTACTTCTTTGTTTCTGTAATTAAACAGGTTATTTTTTTATCATATATATTTAGCTTGATATTCCAATTATATCTATTTGATGTCCATGAATATTAGTATCTTGTGAACCACTTCACTCACCTGATGAAGCTCCATTGACTGGAGAGAAAGCTTGTGGAATAGAATTCATTGTTAGTAAAGAAATGCTACCTACTCATTTTTTAATTAATTTTATTCAAGGAATTGAAAAAGCCAATTTTTGGATATTAAGTAAATATTCCAAAAGAAACCCTTTAAAAAATGGACTACATATCACCAAAAAATTAAATTTCAATATAATCTTTTTTACTCCATTTGTTTTATAATTTTGAAAAATTCAGGTGGGAGTTGGTGCTCCAGGAAGGCCCAACTTAATTCCGCCACTGTATGGTCGACAGGGTATCGGAGGTTACTGCCTACCTAATTGTACGTTCGTGTATAATTAGTGAGAAACATTTTATCATTCCAATTTTGGTTAAAAGCTACAGTACTAAATCTAGAAAATAAGAGTCAGCAGTTAAGTGCTGATTTTATTGTTCATTTTCTTTTTTTTTTTTTTTTTTTTTGTTTTATCCAGGGATGTGTTTATTTGCTGTTTAATAGGAAATACCGGTACTGTAAATATAAATGGTAACAACTCTAAAAGACCTGTTGCGTTAATCATATGTATTAATTATTATATAGAATAATGTATCATTATCAACATCACAAATTATCTTATAAAAAGAAATACGTTACAAAGACGCCTGCACGCGATTTTTCAACTGGTGTCTGGTCTTAATAATATCTATGTTTATAAAATCTTGGAATATAAGTGGTTTTTAAAGCATGAACGTGTTCAAAACATTGGAAAAGCCCATTCTTTTGGACATTGGCCGTATTGGACTGGTCGTTCTTCGTTAAACCACGCCCACCTGCGCAGTGGTAAAATCCAACTTAACGAAGACGACCAATCGAATAGAAAACTGCTAAATACTCGACAAAACAAAATGGCTGCATAGTTACCGCGATACACGCTGCTTAATCAAGGCTGCTTCGGATTCTGGCAGTATGGGTTTTTCGTTAAAAAAAAATGTTTTCATCCAGTTTTTGAATTCTCCTAGTCTACAATTATTTTTTACTTCAATGTGGGTAAATATTATAATTTTTATTTTCTGAAATTTAATTTAAATTATATTAACGCAAATGTTGTTGCTAAACTGACCAATCGGCCATATTTTTTTGGGTCACCTGCATAACTTAACGCTGATTAACGCATTCTGGTTACGTTAATTTTCGTTGTCTACGAAGTCTATTTTACGAACCAGTCGAAAGAAAATAATACTCAACGAAAATTCGTACTCAACGAAATTAACCAGTCAAATAAGTCCATTAATACCAGGGGAAAAAAAATCCTTATAATGATCATTTTTATCAATTTTGTTTTCATAATTTTGAAAAAAAAATAAGTGGCGGGGGTGCTCCGGACCGGCTTCCCCCTTGATTCCCCCACTGTTTAGTGGACGGTGTACCGGAGAGTGGTGCCGAACTAACTGTAATCGCAGGTTTATTTACGCGCGGCGATTTGGTGCGTAGGCCAATACACGTCCTTGTCCGTGTTTCTTTAGTTTAATTCAAATGACATTTATTTATTATTTTATATTATTTATTATGATGGAAATAATAATGGTATACAATACAATACAAATAATAAACCACCATCATTGAGATCATGACTAGAAGTAAAAACTTGTCTCGTCATGACCCCCTCCCCACCACCGAAAAAATAAAATAAAATAAATAAATAAAAGGGAGAGATGAACTTAAAAAAACTACCATTATTATTTACTGATGGTACAATGATAATTACCGTATTGTTTTTAATTTTCCTTTTAAAGACAGGTAAAGAAACTGAATTTTTAATTAAAGCATCGAGATCATTCCATAAATTAGGACCAGCAACAGAAACAAAAAATTGACTTTTTCTGAGTCTGACGAAGGGAACTGGGCCAGAAGCATTTCTAAAATTATATGAATGGGTTTTCCGAGATGTGTCTAACAATTAGGCATAAAAAAAAAACAGAGAAAGCGTTTCTTTTTAAATACTGAAACATAAATATTGCCAGTTGTACCTTGTGAATATCAAATAAATCGAAAATTTTCAGTCGTTTGAATGAAGGTTCAAGTGGAGTTCGGAAGGATGAAGGTATAATTCTGGCTGCACGTTTCTGTAATTTAACAAGTTTATTCAAATTTGAAGGATAATCAGAAGCCCAGGCAATATTGCAATACTGTAAATGTGGTAAAATAAGGGTATTATAAAGGAAAAGTAGAATATGTTCGGGAAAAGCAAACTTGAGCCTATTAATGATGCCAATAGTTTTATATATACAGTATATTTAGAAATGTAGTTCTGGTGACTGGTCCATTTTAAATTTTCTTGGATGTAAACACCAAGAAATAAAGTTTCTGTTTTACGCTCAATAGTTTTGTTATTAAGAAAAAAAATATAATTATTAAAATTAATTTTTTATAGTAGAATGAAAAATAATAATATGATTAGATTTTTGAGTGTCTGATTCCAAAATTATGAAGTTTGCGAATTAGGATACCATGATCAACAACATCAAATTCCTTTGATAAATCAATAAATAGGCTTAACATAAACGTCTTTTTTTTTTTTGAAAGATTTAGTAACATTATCAGTTCAAGATAGCATGAGATGTAGAGTGCAGCTTACGAAAACCATATTGGTGTTTATTTAATAAATTAAAATGTGTTAGATAATCATAAAGTCTGAAATACTTTATTTTTTCAATTTTAGAAAAAAAAGAAAGCAATAAAATGTGTCTATAATTTGATTTCTTAAAAATTGGAATAACTTTCGCAATTTTAAAATATTCTGTGAAAGAACCTGATGTAAAAGATGCATTGATAGCGTAAGTAAGATGAATAATATGATGGGAAACACATGTGATGTGACATTATCGTTACCACAACCTTTGGAAGAATTTAAATTTAAAATATAATTTGGCTAACTTCATGTACAGTAACGGGGTTTATAAAGAAAGAATTGCTAAAGGAGGGAGGTAAATAAGATATATAATATTGCCAACTTTGATCAACTTTGGATTATTTTTGTTTCTTTTTTTTTCCCCCGAGGATTGATGAGTTACCTTTGCATTGATAGAATTTTGAAAAATTCTTTTTGGCAGTGCGACATAATTTGTTGAAAACGTTAATATAATTTTTATAATTAATTTTATAAACGGGGTCACTTGAAATTTAAATATTTTTTTTATAAAGCTTGTGCTTACGTATACTACATTTCAAAAGAGAGTCAGACATCCATGGTTGTCTGAAACGTTTATTTGATTTAAGGTTAATGGACACAAGGTGTTCGACATGGATCTATAAAATGTATTTAAAAAACAATCGAAAGTTACTTTAGGATCATACACCTCACATACATACGAAAGGATTGAGCAGTATCAGGTTTACTGTGGTGATACATATCACCATCAATAATCTACAATATCGGAAGATGGTCTGAAATGTCATCGATTATAATTCCATATTTGATTTTAGAATTTATTTGGTTCAAATAAAAATGAATAATAAGCGAAGCGCACTAGCCGGAGACAATCTTGCTGGTTTCGAAATTGTAGGGTAAAAAGAATGATATAAAATAGTATTAAGATAAGAATTAAATTACGTTCATGAATTTTAGTAAATCGATATTGAAATCCCCATAATGTGACAGTGTTAATTAATTAATTAATTTGAGAACTTCATCAAAATTTTAGTAAAAGGATCTAATTGACCAATGCCAATAATTACATTTTCATTATTTTAATTAATGATTTCAATAAAGAGTGATTCGCATAAATTAACAGGAAGGGAAATATCATGGCTTATTTTAATATTAAGATCATTACGAGAAAATATAGCAACACCTGCATATCCTTGATTACCATGCCTGTTACTCGAAAAGAATTTATAGTTATGGAGGAAAGGTGTTGGTGAGCTATCAGAAAGCCAAGTTTCAGAAATTCTAATAATCGAAGAATTCAGATCAATCTGTATTAGTATTACGGTGGTCTATAGGATTACGAAAGTATCAGCTACAAGAATGTTCTAATACTGTAGCATTCTTGCCACTGATCAGTATTTCCTTTTATTTCTGCTGAACCTCTCAGACACGCCCTAGGTACGCCACTGAGAGTCTGCGAGTGTCTGTGAGTGTAGATCACTATCTAGTGGCGTAGAGTATATTAACATGGGGAGGGGGAGATTTGATAGGGATAAAAGTTTAAGTGGGGCGATGATTAAGGTGCGATTTCTATCAATTGGCGGCTTTGAAAACGTATTTTTACCCTCAAAATTTCATTTCCGCCAGGAATCTAGGGGAGTCCATTTTAAAAATATGTTCACTATGGGCCCTTTTTGGGGTGTCGGACACCTCGTCGGGAAATTTCTGGCGCCGACATTTTTTTAACTATTTCTTACAATAGTATAGAAGTGGATTTGTTTCTGCTGAGAACAAATTTCTAATGGTAGGGTAGGAGAACTTGGGGTACAATTGTTTTTTTTATCCCCCACACTTTCCCATGCTACTGTACTCTCTCCTTTTGAGAAAAAAAAAGGCCTATCACATTGACGTTGAAAAACCAAGGCTAATTAATTCGAAATACACAATTTATGTCGGCTCACCGCTGATCTTAAAGAGAATGGCCACCAGCTCCAAAAGGTTGAATACACAGGCCCTATATTGTTAGAACTCGAAGGAGGTCTGGGGCGAAGCGCGAACTTTGACCTTCGTCGAGTTGGGTTGTACAGCACCCGGCCACTAACATTACGTTCACGTCAGGAACCGCCCATTGGGCAAATCCTGGCGACACTCTGGGCACTAAGATAGTCTCAAGACAAAAAGAAGTGGCTGGTTAATATAAAACTAAAATCATTAATTATTATACGAAAGACAATCATCTTTTCAGTAGCAATTTTTACTAATGAATCTTGACACAATAAAAATGTTTTATTAGCGATAAAAATTAAAACATAAATTTTAGGTTAAATCGTAAATCAATATGAAAGCAACACTAAATAAAACAATTCAAATGAGCACTATATCTATACGGATTAGATATATAAACTTTATTCCACAAACGCATATGTTATTGGATTACAATTTAATCAATTAAGTTCACTTTCAGAAAAAAAATAATCACATAAAGTATGTAAAGTATGGTTTCTATAAAAATCCACTTCACTCTGTAGGGCCACACCTGAATGACAAATCAGCCTCACTGAAAGCTGTTGGCAATAGCATCTGTAGGGATTTTATGGAAGCCAGACGCAAAAAAGGTCAAGGCTGCTGTGGGAATCTGACCAAGTCAAGTGACTGAGCTCAACATTGTTGGCAATGGTTGATCCCAACTCAGTACTTTCTTTGAACAGCCAGGCAGATCCGCATCATATCTGCTGCAATCATTTTGTAACCTCCAACATGATGTCATCACTGGTCATCTTTCCCAGTTTTGCAAACCTCTCGGGGCCCAAAATTTGTTTGTGAAAAATTGGTGGGCAAGTGAAGAGAATTTTTCCTAAAGCACCCTTGCTTAGTAACTGCTATTCCCAGCTTTTTGTACTATCTTCGCACAAATGGTCAGGACAGAACAGAACTTCTTCACGTTTGTTGATTCATGCTACACCAGTCTCTAAAATGCTACCTGTCTTATTCAACTAAACAAACTGTGCCTGAACTAACAAATATACACAGAAAAACCAAACTATTTTTTAGGTGACTAAATAACACAATTACATAAGAATACCAAAACCATACCATTACTATATTAAGTAGTTAATTATATTTATTATAATGATAACAGTGTATGAAAAATACTGTATGGTCTAAGCATAATGTAAGGTAATCCAACGATGACATGCTCTAAAATAAAATAGTACGTTTTTATGTGGAAAGCAGATAATTAAACAATATAATTTTGTTTATCTGTTCTAAATTTGATGAAAGTTTATCTGGTGCACTGTATAAAAAATTCTAAAGTTGGTCATACACTATCAGAATTTTTCTGGACTCAACAAAAAGAAGGATTGTCAATCTGATTTTAATAAAAATTTTAAAAAAATATTTAAAATTTAAATTTAACATAATATATTCAATTAAATAAAGATTAAACACACGGAAAATACCAATTACACAAATAAATGGCAGTACAGTATCAAATCGAACCATACATAAAGACTTTTAAGATATTAAAAAGATTAAATACATTATACACACTATTTTGTTTTTCAGATTTTATCAGAGTCTGACTGAACAGTGTTGAATGAAAGACAACAAATCCGAAAGCATAATGTCTAACTTAAGAGGTAGAACTTGTTTAAAATGTATGCTGACAACATCTAGTGTCTCTATAGAGCAGAAGCATCAGTGATTTTATCCTTGGGAAGTTCAGCTGGAAGGTCGTCACCCTGTGTGTCGTGCTTAGATGCACCAGCGATTGAAGTATCTGGTACTGTATCTGGTTTGAATCCACTGTTGGTTGCTCCAGTATTCGTCTCAAAATATATATTGTTTGTGTGCTCACTTGGACGTCTATCAAAAAAATTATCAGAAATTAGAAAGATGTTGACCGTCAAAATATGATTACCTACTTAATCTTTACCTTAATTGCTACACACACAAATTAAACAAAGATGTATGCTGTTTGAAATCTATATACCTTATACTGTACAAAAATAATAATACCCACAGTAACAACAATAATTAATGATGATATTTTATTATTATGTAATTGTAGTTAGATACATATAGCTCTTTATAAATGGTCCCAGAGCTCTTGAGGTGTGAACTACACAGTCAAAAAAAATAATGGTCACTTGTCTTGTGTGTGTGCTTTTGTGTACTCTGGTAAAACATACACTTTCTATTTTAAGCTTACTTCTTTTCAGATGCCATCTAAGATCATCTAGAAGTCTACTAATTACAAACAAATCTAAAATGGGAGGAGACGCCCCTCGCAAACCCACCCCCCTCTTCCTTCTCACCTCCCATTATCCACCCCCAATTGCTAAATCCTAGATCCGCCGCTGGAGCTACCCAGTAACTGGTACCAGCTTCTCTTGTCTCTAAGCCTTTAAGAGGTCCCTTTTCAGAGTTCAAAGAATAAACTTGACACCTTAAACTGGAAACAACAGCCTTTGAGAATGATGGCCAACCAAATTAATAGCTTACCAAATTTATGAGATTTTGATTAAAAAAAAAAAACCACTATTTGCACAACCATTTTTTATCAAATTAAATTATTTATATAAAAAATGTTCTTACCTTTGTGGAGTAGCATTAGAAATATTTGCATTCCCATCTACAGTAAGGATTAAATAGAAGACCATTATTATTGAAAAAAACAATATACTAAATGTCCTCTTACTTTCATATAATTGTCCATTTTATATGGAATCAATACAGGTCTTAAAACAGAAGCACCACTCAAGAAAGCAACTTCAATTCATTAATATGCCAATTTTATCTACATAAATTTAACTGTTCATGCATGCATGCGGATAATAATTAATTGTCTGTAAAAGTATGATAACATTTAAAATATACTAAATGTCCTCTTACTTTCATAAGCAAGCTCGTGGTCTAGAGGTATGATGCCAGGCTAGCGATCTGGAGATCGTGGGTTTGAGTCCTACCTGAGAACAACTTGCTATTTTTTTCGCAATTGATTTCAAATGCAAATCCAGATATTATCTATTCCACCACGACAATAACAATTACTATTAACATTTTAAAAAACAGAAAGAAGTGTACAATAACGCTTCCCAAGTGCTGAGGACAATATCTTTCTCTCAGATGTGGCTTGCACGCCTACGTACTAAACTCCTTTATCTTGTCCATATTGTAATCAACACAGCTGCTATAAGTTAGGTATACACAATTAGATTATTATCAGACTAAACCACACAATGTTTGATTACAATTTGAAAACACTGTTTAACTTCCAACACGAAAAGAAAATGTGTTTGATGATCGAGATAAAGTCTGAAAGAAGCATTCACTATCAAATCAAGTCTAAACAATCTGTCAAATATCTGCTAGTGTATGCCTGGTTCCTTTTAGTCATTATGGAATGCGCATGATTATACTATAATTATTATAATATACCATGTACAGTACATAGTTTATATCGTATGATAAAATATACAGATATGTGTTTGATTAAAATATGTGAATAGAATAATTAACTATTTGAATTGTGCTTACTTACATACTGTAGGTTTAGCTTTCAATTGTACATAAAATTAAAAAACAACCTTCTTAGTTAATTAATACATAAACAATACAGTATTGTATGAACCTAAAACTTGGTAATCATTGAAAAGATTTTCACTGGAAAGTAAAGTCTGTTATTTTGAAAACATATGACTTGATCTGTCTAATACTGAAATTGTATAACTTCTGCATTTAATATTAGATTTTCCCCCCAATATTTTAATTAACTATTTTAAAGGATTAAAATGTTAAAAATGTTAAAAGGATAAAAATGTTCAATGTTACCACAAACGATACTTTTAATATTGTAACGTAACTTACCTTCTGCTATGTCCATTTCATGGTTTTCTGATTTTTTGTCAATAAAAGAAGATTTTTTCGAGCTGAAAAAAAACATATAATTTTGTAAAATAAAATTACACCTTTTATTTTGATATGCAAAAATATATTTTGATTTCTTGAAACTACTTCAGATTTTCCATATAAATATGTTCCACACTGTACTCAAGGCCTTGATATTTCAGCCTTACAGAAAAGCATTTCTTCTGTCAGCTGAGTAATTTTAGAAGATAGTCATAAAATTTTTTGCTCTCACTAATTATTATGATACAATCATTCAAACACTTCAAATCATAAACAATTAATTAGTAATGGTTTTGGTTCTAACTAAGTTTAAATATACTTCTGTCCTTTGCGTTATGTATTGAATTTATGAGCAGGTATTCGGTATGCTTATGTTTAGGGAATTATTTCTAACTTGAAATTTCTATTCACTGTAAACAATCATCCTAATTTTCATTGTTACTATGTAGTATATGAATTTTGGCAAAATGCCGAACATTTTACAATTGAGTAAAAAATGATAATCCAATACAGCTTTGATGAAATCCCTAGTAATCTTCGCTCTATGGTAGTGTATAAATTCAAATGTGGTGGATGTAATTCCACCTATTTAGGCTATACTAGCCGACACTTGATTACTATGATTGAAGAACACCTTGGCAAAGACAAAAATACAAACATTTTAAAACATCTAAATGAAAATTAAAAATGCAAAACATTAGCTACATGCTTCAACGTCATTGACAGTGAAATTAGATTAAGAATAAAAGAATCACTACATGTCAAATGGAACAGTCCAAATTTCAATGTTCAACTCAAACACTTAAGCTTACAACTTTTCAATTAGCATACAGCACTAATGTATGCAAGGTGTTCTATGTTAAGAATGGCGAGTTTTTTTTCGTTTTTGATTTTTAGTTTTTACTGATTATAGGAGAGAACACCCAAAACACGTTTACAATTAAATCTTAGTTCTTTTCTTAAAATATGTTGTGTTTTTCATCAATTTGCATCCGTTTGGTTCTAACATCAAAGACTTTAGTTCGGAAGACCTGCCTATTTATTTGCTTAGGAAGTATCTATACGTTTCATCGAAGCTGAATTGGATTATCATTTTTATGTCTTTAAGCAATTTAAATGACCCTCAAATTTACACCCTAACCTGGATCCTAACCTACACATAATAATATCTTCCTTATAACTTTGGTTAAACTTTCCCGAATGTTTCATTTGGATCAGTTGACCCGTTTTTTAAATATCTGGTCTGGGACGTTTTCCTTTAAATGGTCCTCAGATCTACACCCTACTCCGGATCGTCACAAAAATTTAATCATTTCTTTACTCGACCTTGACAAACTGTTATACAAGGTTTAAAATTATATCCATTGATTTTTTTTTTAAGCGATTACACCCTTGACCAGCACATAATATTTTTTTCCTTGTAACTTGGTTAAACTTTTCTGAATGTTTCATGCAGATCAGTTGATCTGTTTTCGAAATATGTGGTCTGGGACGTTTTCCTAAATGCTCGTTAGATAGTACTACAGTGTTACGTCACAATACCACGTGATAAACTCTGTTACTATCGGCGACACAAAATGCATTCAAACATTTTCTCCACTGACAAACGATTGATCCCAATTTCTAACGTAATTATTAAGAAGTTGTATCTTAATTTTCCTTTGTAAATGCTAATTGATGATTAAATGTGTGTTGGATAACTAATATAATGCGAGCTTTTTGTGTTTTTAGTACATTTTGATGCTAAATTATTAGGTTTTAAAATGCCTATTTCAGAAAGCCTATTCTAAACCATTAAGATTATGAAGTCATTCAGGCATAATGAACGGTAACCAAAGTCCAGAGGGCGCCACCTGCTGTTGTGATGACACGACTGTGGTACTCTATACTGTGGATCATCACAAAAATTTAATAATTTTTTTACAAGACCTTTACAAAGTATTATAGAATGTTTCATTTAGACCCATTGGTGTTTTTTTTTAAAGAGATATTTAGGTCTGTGTCCTCAAAAATTGAAAAGACCCTCAAATTTACACCATCCACTGGATCGTCAATTTAACAAATAACAAATTTCTTCCTTGTAACTTGATTAAAATTTCCCGTAAGTTTCATTCAGATCAACTGACCAATTCGTGAAATATCCAGTGTAGACTGTTTGACCTTAAATCAATTTAATTAGTCCTCACATGCACACCCCACCATAGATTGACCATTGTTCTCCCCAGGCAATTGAAGCATCATGGTATCATGATGCTTGGGACTTTCCCCATGATGCTTGACAGTTGGCCATGTTTCTTGGAACATTTTCCATGACGCTTTTATCAGGGAACAGTTAAATTATTTAACTGTTCCCTGCTTTTATATAGTCTTAAATTGCAATTTATGACATTTCAATGCCTCCTAATTATTAAAAATACCTTGTGTCAGTCCCAACTATGGTGGACTTAACACTTACCATGACGCTTGCCCATGATGCTAGCGGGAACACTGATTAACATTAAATATTATTAGGCATATCCTTGATATATAGCCTATGCTTCGGTAAAGCACAGACAAATTCTAAGCTTGGGAAGTTAACAAAGTGACGGCCAGAAAAAAACAGTGCAAAAAGATATATGCAAGGAAAAAAAATCAGAACAAAAAAAATGGCTTTTCCAAGTACTGCTGGGAAAAGCCAATAACACTAGATATTAGAAATATAAATAAAACGTTGTAGGATTTTATTGCTGCGAAGCAGCCAATTCATATTCTTGACAGCAATTTGACCTCTGAAAGGTCATTGTTTGTCAAAAATCAATCGCCTGAGACAACTGAGAAGCGGAGTTTGCTTCTTTCGTTCTGCCGGGTAAAATCAATTACTTTAGGCGACGTTTGTAGACTAACCTACTCATACCAACGTTGGCATGTCGCGACGCTGGAGTACTATTCAGCGTTTTTACTATATTTCTAGGTTTCCTATTTCTACGTTTAATCGGCTCATGTCTCAGCCACAATATTTTGAGGACAATATTATTTACGAACCCAGTTAAACTTATTTACTAGCCTATTTCAACGTGCTAATTATTACATTTAGACGACGCTTGTTGTAGACTGGCATAGTGTTTGCGGAAATAAATACCATTTTATACACATGCGCAGATCGATTCGCCAGCAGCGAGTCATTGCCAGCAGCGAGCGAGATGTCACTGCAGCAAAACACTAATTGTACCAACGCTGTTCTAATAATATATAGACAATGGGTCGTGCTCATATCATTTGTTATATTTTTATTATTCATTATTTTCACTTGACTCGCATAAATAATTTTTTTTCGAAGAACATTTTATGCAGTTGTACTTCGCAGCACTTCACTTGCAATTTGCAATTTCTAGTAACATGTCCTTATTAGCTTTTCCCAGCAGTAGCTGGAAAAGCCATTGTTTTTGTCTAGCGAATTACCTCTTGTTATTGTCAGAGTTTTTATTCTTTCTTTTTCGGCGATTGTTGTGCGCACGATATCTCAAAATTGGCACGAGCTATGTACATGCGCGCTTCAACGAACATTTGGCTTGGCCTGGAATAGTCATAATAAGCTTTTCAATGTGCTCAGTCATGTGTGACATCATCTACGCGTAATTTTTGTGTTGTTACATTATCCATGATATCTTCCTAACCAACTGTCGTTTCTAAATCATATTCAGTGGGCATAAACTTCAGGTCATGGTTGAATGTAACTTACGAAAATATATAATGCGCGCAAACGCGTGCATCAAAATTTTAAAATGCTCAAAATCACTTTTTGACTAAGTTAGTCAATGGCGTAACTAGCAAGATGTCGAGATTTCTTTCCTGAATTTGATGACCCCCATTGAATGTCATGTACCTTAATTTTCTGTGCGCGCGTCATAACGTGCGCGATGCCTATTTTTAATCAGTTTTATAGCTCCTTATGATGAAAGGTGACCCACAAGTTTTATTAAATATTCTGAAAGCACATGAGTTGTAGATATGATTTTATAGCTCATTATAGCTGATCGGACATTGTGATGTCATCATGTTGCCATCTGAATTCAATAAACTGACTGACGTCATTATTTTTATACTCATTTGAACGTATCTCGCTTATTGTTTATCAATCGTCTCTCACCTGTGAGTATGTTATAGACGAGACAATTTCCTTTCACAAAGTGTCATTCATTTATCACTTTGATGACGTCATTATGGTCAAAATGAGTATTTCTGACCCTCCCCCAACTCTTTCTTTCTTCAAATCTTTGATGACACGATAGAGGGCGGCAGACGGGATTTCAACACTAACATGGTCAATGTCTTATGCTATTACCGACCAACAGGCATTTTTAAATGACACTTTACACAAGTATTATAGTTTATATGACGTCATCATGGTCAAAATGAATGTTTTTTCTGACCCCTTTCTATTTCTTCCTTGATATCATTGTCAAATTTTATAATTCTTGGTAATGAAGCCCTCACCGACAGGCATTTTTCAATGAGAGTTGACATATGTATATCTCATATCAGGAGCCAATGACGTGAGTGTACATGTGCATAAAACTTTTATAAAGCTCAAAATTACAGTATTTTTTTTTTACTAAATTAGAGCACTTTATAGGCCATAATTTTAGCATTAAAATATTTTTCGATCCGCAATGCGCTCACTTCCTAAGGGTTAAAGTTCAAATGTGCGGTGGATCACCTAAACTTGTCCGACGTGTCGAGTTCAAATCTAGTTTTTATTAATTTTTTTTCTTGCATATTTTTTCACTATCTTTTTGCACTTGGTTTTTCTGGCCAGCACTTTGGTCACTTCCCATGCTTGGAACTTGTCTATGCTTTGCCGAAGCATAGACTATATATCAAGGACGAGCCTCCTACTATTTAGTGTCAATCTAGGGTGGGGTGTGTATGTGAGGACCAATTAAACTGATTTAAGGGCAAACGGTCTACACCAGATATTTCAAATATGGGTTAATTCACCTGAATAAAACTTTCGGGATAGTTTAACCAAGTTACAAAGAAGGAATAATTATGTGCTGGGGACGATCAAGTTAAGTTGCAGCTAGGTTAAACTCAATAATGCATAAACAATTTTTGCTTATAGTCACTGAATGGCTATGAACGGAAAATGCACTGGCATATACAAGGTCAGCTCATTTAGTGGGCAATGGTTGTGAGTCTCCAAGTAGGCCTACCTCGCTATTACCATTGCAGCAATAGTTCGAATCTTACTAACTTCGCGGTAGTTGTGAAGTTGGTTTTCTTTTTTTTTACTTTCATTTGTTTAGTACTATACAAATTTTGGGTTTCTATGTTTTTTTTTTACTCTATAATTTTTTAATATTTGTTTGTTTGTCTTCATTTCTCTTTACAGCAATGACGAAAAGCCCTAAGTTCTGTTGTGCAAACTGACATAGTAAGTCTAGTTTTTTATATTTTTTTGTGACTCATAACTGGGGGAATGTTCCATATGATCATAACACGCAGTCACTTTAAATTACACAAACTGCTTACGGGCTGTGACATTCTTTGACCGCAACCAAAATTATGATGAGCATGACGAGAGCGAAGAAGGAGATAAGAGTGATGACCCATGGCTCAAGGCTTGAAGATTCCACTGGCTCCACTGGACCAACAATGTATTCAAACTCAGACTCATCTATGTTGTTGTTTAGCATATCTTGCACTTGTTCCGTTGTCATAGCTGCTACTTCGGTGTTACTTGGGTCGTTTACCCAAAATTTCACCTCCAGGTTTGCATTCACTTCTTCAAACGAGTAATACACAATATTATCTGATCTATTAAAAACAAGAGATCAATAATCAAGAATTATAACATGTTTACCAATACTGCTGCTAATAATAATAACAATACATAAAAGTGGCAGATCCAGGAATTCTAAATAGAGTGGGCCCAGGAAGACAAATTCACAGATTGAGGGCTAAGGTGGTAAGAAAAATTATGATTTTAGCACCTCTAGACTGCAGGAAATGGCACTCTCAGACTTGAATTTGAATATAATTTTCTTTTTTCTTCATTTTTGAAAGTAATTTTAAAAATCTGGGTCAGCTGGATCCCTTCAATCTGTAACTGCAGGATACCAGAAATATAAAAAAAAAAATTATACAAATGTTTTTAGGATTTACCCTATACGTAAATAATAATAAAAATTTACATTTATATAGTGCATATTGCACAGTGCCTCTATGAGCTTTTTTTTTTTATCAAATTATAAAACAAAAAGCATGATGACTTAACAATAATATAAGATGGTGTGGTGTGTCAAACAGCACTATGTTTCAAAGGGTCAAACATTGGTCTCTGCCCTGGTGCAATCCCCGGTCCCCTATCTAGGTGGCGCAAACAAAGAAGCAGGTCAGTCTTGCATCTTTTTAACCAATCAAAAGATTGTGTTAGGTTGAGGTCATTTCGTATCCATAGGCAACGTGCAATGGACAATACAGGAGGGGAAAAAAATGCACGGTGGAACAAAATTTCAACAATGAGTGAGGAAATGGGCAAAATAACTAATGTCACATGGTACGAAATCGGTGTCTAGATAATGTATCCACTAGTTTTTTTCTTTGAATGTATATACTGTATTATATATTATTGTACAAATGCATTGTATTTTTTCTTTATATATATATATATATATATATATATATATTGTTGTTTTCATGTGCAATGCTTGTTATCATGAAGATGAATTTCCTATTTCTATAAACAATAAAATTTAATTGAATTGGTTGAATTCAATTGAATTCTAATTATTATTATATTCCACAAAAGACTTACTTGTATAGAGAGTTACGTGGTGCCAAGCAGGCCGTGAAACTCACAGCACAATATTCATTGGCTTGGTCTGCTAATGATTCTGCAAGTTTCAATTGTTTTTGTTCATCAAACTGAATGAAAATTTGAAAAGAAAAAATTTACTTATTAAGAAAAAAACTGTTAACCACACATTAACCAAGGATTGCCTATATTGAATACAAAGTACAACTAAAACTGCAAATAATATAATGATGATTGCTATAATTGAGACGCACAATTACATTTGCATTCCAGAGCAGTAGCAGTTTATTGGAACAGATTGAGGGCAGCAGTCACAAGACTTGTCACCAAAGTATTAGCAAAAGTGCACTATTTTTTTTTTTTGAAGAATTATTTTGAATGCTATATATAATTATATACTCCTATCTTTTGTTGTTTTAATAACAAGCACACTTACCGACTTTTCAGACTCTCCAAGAAGTGTCATCATTGTACCTCCTACTTCTATTGGATCAGCTAATGTAGTTGGTTCTGCCGGTTTCTTGGTAGTAGTAGGCACTGAAATAAAAGCAGTTCAGAAATAATGAAACATGAAAACAATCATCCACAGCAATTGTAACATAAATTAAGAATTCTACACAGAACCACCACATTTACATGATATATATTTCCCACTTACACTAAGAATAGCCAAATTGCTTAATGCTTAAATGATATTTAAATCTAGACTTAAATTTGTCACCAACAAATTAGGTGATCCGCAGGTTTTCTTGAAACTGGGGATCATAAAGGAGGCTGTTGGTATCAGACTTTCTGTGGCAATCTGAATCTTGTTGGCTGACAAACATTCACAAAATCTAAATGTAAAATATAGTCTGTACTATTCACCTCCAACAGTGCTATATGTCAGGTCAAAGCCACTTGAAGTCTTATCTTCATCACTAAAGAAACGAATCCACAGTCTGCTACTCGAAATGGTGACAGGTACAGGCAGTTTGCTACCTGTAAACATATACTGGACGTTGTTGTCAGCTTCATTACCAGATCCAATCAAAAGAAAATCTTGTCTAAAAAATACAATCATAAAATACTAATAATACTTTCAAAAATTGTATATGGTATATTCTGGTAGACATCATAAGTTAACAAGCTGTGTACTACAGTGTTGTGATGTTCAGTAGTTCTCTTGAACTTCAGATTATATATGGCTCTATTTTTAGTTTGGTATTTTTGTCTTTTACTCAACATACCAATTCTGGTTGGTTACACTAATTCACCTCTTTCATGTATTTGTACTATTGTTTGTATCATGTAAGCATTAAAATTATCGAGGGGAAAACAATGGTTTATTAAATTTGATGCATGACCACAGAGTGAGTTATAAAAAGATCACTCAACTTTTGCTCCACCTAATCTGTACATTTTTTTTCAAAGTTTCTCACAGAACTGAGAATCTGATTAGGGTTGTATATGTGTTTTAAATATATGTTTATGTTTCAAAGTGTGTGAAGCTAAGAGGTTTTGACTAAATCTAGTTAATATTTTGCAGCAGTGTTTAAGATTTAGTCGGTTTACCCTGGTATTTTTAAATTTCATGAATAAATGTGAGGTCTCACCACGAAATGCGACGCATTTTTAATGAAATCATATTGAGATATTCACCAAAATAGGTCAAAGTCAAAATGTTTACAAAATGTTGATTTTAATGTTTTTAAATAACTTGATACCTATATTTCATACATACGTTTTAAGCAAAATTTCTTACTAAAATCGTGTTCTCTGCGCATATTCTTTAATTCTAGTCCTATTATTTGTAAAGGTTAGTTTATCTTTGCGGCCAATTTTCTCAAAACGTGGTTCTCATACACCCAAATTTTAAATGCTCACATCTCTGGATCTACTTATCTTAGGGAAGCCATTCAAAGACCAAATTAAAGTTTATAATGTGATCTACCCAATATTTAAATACCCTTACCCATCCTCAAGATCAAAAGTGTAAAATTCAACTTGAATTGCAGCACTGGAGTCTGGTATGTTAACTATGTACAGACAATCTTGATTATCAGGGTAATCTTTAGGATAATCAGGAGATGTTATCCTGCCAGATGCTTCATTTCTATATGAGTCGCCACAGACACCAACTGCAAACAAAACAATTAATGTTAATAGAAAATTATTGTTTACATATAAACACAATTTTAGTTGGATATTAAATTTTCTAAATTTAACAACATTGCTGCAATTCTAAACAATAAATTAGGAAATAATTAAAACAAAAATTAAATAAGCTAATGAAAATGGCCGAAAAGGTAATTTATCACAGATGGAATGTCTAGACGAGAAAGAAAATGTATTACTATGGCACCACTAAATGGAAGCAAAATGCATTCTCAGGCATAAATTTTAATCTTTTTTCTCCATTTAAAAAAAAGTTATATTCATAAAAAAACAACAATGACAATTGTTTTTTAATTTTATTTTAAATATCCTCCCCCCCCCCTCGCCCCTCCAAACCACAGATTAAAAATCAGCTTGGGTAAAATTATTTAAATGGTATAAATTATTACCTGCTGGTGTGATGATAAATGCTGTGTCTGTGCTTCTGCCAATCTCTCTACCGCTAATGGTGTAAGTACCAATTGAAAAGCGATAAGCTGTTCTTGATTCCATATTCTTGAGGATTAAGCTATCGGTGTTGCCTCCTGTAACATTCACAAATGTTTCCACACCACCAACTTCAATGAAGACCTTATACCCGCTCACTTCACAGTTACGACGAGCAGGGCGCCACGAAAGTTGGATATCGTTTGGCGAAAGAGCTTCTCCACTAAATCTTGATGGAACCAGGTCACTATCATTAAAAGCTGCTTTGGTGAAATAAGCAAAATTTTAATAAATATTTTCAAAAATATATTTTTTCTAACATGAACCACGATAAATTGTAAACATAGCATGGTTTATTTTAAAATTCAGGGGTAATCACTATATATTTTATTCTATGCTGGTGCTTATCTTGCATTTGAATGAGTGTGCTACAAGTGCATCACCAAGTGCATCACCAAGTCTTCATAATGTTTTATATACCACAGTTCCTCTGGTATAAGCCACCCCTATTGAACACAAAATTAGGCCAATTGGTATTTATTCCAAATTAAGCTGAACCATGAAGATTGTGTACTGTATCCCTATCTTCCTGTGAAATACAAATAGCTAACACATCTTTTGGAAGAACTAATATTATTTCATTTGACTATATTTAGTATAAAACATAATTTTAACAATATTTTAGAAATTATCAAATTCAGAAAAAAACATGCAATTATAATTTACTAATAAAAACAAGAGACACGATTTATGAGTATCAGGAAAAAGTATGTATTAAAGTGATTAGAATTTACCAATATCAACTATTTCACAAATGTATTCCATGTACACATCACATGCAATATCATTGAAACGTCCATTGTTGAGTATCTGGCCACAATCTTGTGTACCATCCAAGTCATTAGGTTGATCCGTACCCCAGTTAAGCATACCCCATACACCCAGACGCGAACAATCAATCCATGACCAATCTCCTTCCGTCGCCTGATCATAGAGACCTGGAAAACAGCATGTAATAAAAATTGGCATCGAGTGATTTAATGAATGTTGGAATCTGAGTTTTACAATGTAAGAGTTCTTATTATTTTCTAATAAATCATTCTAAAAAGACTCAAAATTTATGAATATCAAGTCCTCATATGAATTCCTCAGAGATCAGTAAAAATATTGGTCTTTAATATTAAAGGGTTTGAAAACATAGTATCAGCCACCGCCAGACTTATTAGCAAATTTTAACAATTTTCCAAAGCTCGTTGAGAGTGCGTATGTAATCAGATTGACATGTTATAAACACTATAGCTACAAACATCTTAGCTTTACAATGGAAACAAACACTGTATTCTAATCACAATCTGTGACCCGTAACAGTGAAATGAAAATGACTCACTTTTGGAGATTTACGCAATTTCGCATAATGAAGCTGAGATAATCACGATTTTGTGAAAGGACATCAAACCCGCTAGGCCTACGCTCAATGTAAACAAACACTGACAAAGAGATATCAACCAACGCTACCATACATGGATTCGCTAGGCTAGTCTAGCTAAAAACATTACTACCAAGATTTATTACATTTTGTAAATCAAAAATTATACATCTTTAACATCATCTGACATACTTTCACCAGAATCCGCACAAATTTCAGCGAATGCCTCAGCAGCACTTACACGATGAGCGTCATCAGAGCTAGCTATGGCATGAATTCAATCTTTTTCTTTATCAGATTGTATACATTCAAATAGTGAAATACTTACAGTCCAGACTGAATATAGTGTTCAAATAGTTAGTACAGTACAGTACAAAAAAAACCTGAAGCACAGAGATCTCCATGTTTGGCGTGCAGAGTGTTAAAGATATATCATCTGGTTAAACAATGAATCTTTACTCACCAATCCACCAGTTGCCTCCTTTGGTTGTGTTCATAATGTACTCCAGTTCATTCTGTGAATCAACAATGGCAAGATCACCACCTGGTGTGCCTTGGCAGTCTGCTCGGGCTTTTTGCCACGTCATAGGTGTCTTGCCATATTTGTAGCAGTAATAGTTATGTCCAATCTCCCAACCAGCAGGACAAAAATCTGTATAAACACAAATGAGACACTAACTGCTGCCACAATTGAGTTTATAAATCACAATACAAGATTAGAAATTGGAGATTGAAACAAAGATAGCCAATTCTCTCAATGAGGATAGATCTATTTGAAAAAACAATATGAGGAGGGTATATCTTTAGGCATTGTTGAGACGATTAAATATAGGATCTTTGGGGTTTCTAAAACTGATAATAACAATTGAGAATGATTTTAATTCATTTCTTAACCTTGTGTTCAGGAGTTCTAACCGCATGTCTCTGTTGAGACATCCCAGCATGCATTATTGATGGGTTGTGAAGTAGTACATGCTATTACTAGTATTTCATAGCTTATAGATAATACATATATCAAGGCCATTTCTCGTCCCTAACTATAGAAATATTAGGTCAAATACAAGATTAGAAAAAAGATGGTGTTTGTGAAAATGATAGGCCCTATATATTAACCACCTTTAAAAACATTACTGGTGAATCTACAGTAAACAGTTTATCATATTCAATTTAACAGTACCATTTACAGAGTCTGTGGTCGTCTGAGCATTGGCTCCATACGGTAATGATCCGGTTGTAAGAACAGCAGCAATCGTAAAGCTATACGTGGTTGATGGCAGCAAATCATTTATTCTAACACTGTTACTGAGAGCACCAGGTACAGTTTTAACCTTCTGCAATGAATATCCATTGAAAAAAATAATTCCATGGCAAAGTAAGAAGTAAAAACATCCAATAAAATAAAATACAGGTAACATTTATATTAAAATGTATGAAACAATCTCAGAAGAAAGTGATGCAGGTCATCATGATGCAAAATTTGTAATTACAAATACATATGTAGAGGCAAGCTTGTGCTAAAATTCTTCATTCTTTACTTCAAGTAGTGCCACTCACAAATGCTTATTTTTTGGGATGAAAATGGGCTCACCCATAATTACAGATAATTTCACTTTGGTTTAATGGTACAGGCCATGCCAATGGGTGTAGTTTGATTGGTTAAAATTCTGGCATTAATTAAGCCAAAAAGTTACTTGAGAATAAAAATACAAAAAGTCAATATTTCAATGATACAAAATGAATATTTGAAAGCTCACCACATCTTTATCAGTACTGTTGTATCTTATTCTGTATCCAGTGATGTCACATAAAATATCAGAGGTTTGCCAAGTCAACAAAGCATTGAAAGGGGAGAAGCTAACAGCAGAAAAGAGGCGTGGATTGAAGTCTGCAGGCTCAAAATCTATTAAATAAGAATTGTTTTTTCTGATTAAAAAGTAACATTGATACTGTACATTGATAAGTCAGTATTAGTAACATACCTGATAGATAAATGGTAATTAACATGTTCCCTTACACAGCACTTTTAGAAAATCAGAATCATTTATCTTTTTGCACTATCATACATGTATGCCTTTACACCAGCCTATACAGTAATTGTCCTCTTTTCCTTTTGTTAGAAACAGGGATGGCGCCAGCAGGGGGCTGGGGGACGAGGCCCCTGTCAGGGAGAAAAACCACAACTTGTCGGGGAGAAAAAAAATTGTATGTATTTTGTACATATTTGTAGACTCTAAAATTAATTAAATAAGCCTTTGAAACCCCTAAATTGTCCCCCTGGACAACATTTGAAACATTTTAAGAGACGCTTGACCACACCCACTTTGCTCTCGTTGTGGAAATCTTCGAACTCGTCGGGGAAATGCTTGATGATTTTATACTTTATACTGGTGTCAGCATTCTCCCCAAAACCAGATTTGACTACACTATATGAACCCCTTTAAAAAATATTAAGATTTAATTTTCTTATTGCGAAAGCACTAGGTGTAACACTCTACAATCCTAATTTTGTTGTAATCATACTTTTATGAACAACTTTGCAGATGTAGAACATAGGTTGTGCGCAGTCTACGTCATAGAAGTAGCCATTGGATTGTAGTTGTCCGCAATCCTCGTTCCCGATGATGTCGTCACTCGGTTCACCAGGTCCCCAGTTACCCATCGTGAAGGTACTTGGATCTGTACAATCAATCCATTGCCATGTGTTCTCCACACCAACATCATAATAACCTGGGAAAAAAATGGAAAACGAAATGTTATAGGAAAAAAATTTAGAAAATGTGATACATTGGTGTTTCCTCTACTTATCCTCCGGATTTGAGAAAAGCTTTCAGTGCTTCAGTCTAGCAATATTTATAATCAAGGAGCCTATAACATCATGCCTATGAATAGATCATATACCATACTACAGACTGATTAATTGGTTGGTAGATTGATTTCATTTAGATACTAAATAGGTAGCACTTGAGTTGCTTTGAGTGGAATTACAAAAAAACTAATACTGTATGTTCCTCATTTCAAAAGACAAATACTGTACCAGGAGTACCATTCCGGATGATGACATAATTAATGTCGAAATATTGAATCCCGACACGATGGTGTGCATTACACTTGGAGTATGCATTATACTATCTTGTACCAGGAGAGTACACAGAAAAGCACAAGAGAACCAGTATTCAAACAGGATAACAATTATAACAATCAAAGAAATATTAATTTTGGGTATGGAGCAACCAGGATTTTCAAAAAGTGTGGGACAATTATCAGGGTGGACCCACTTTACATGTAAATTTGAACAAAGTAAACTCATTTTACGCAAAAATATGAACAATCTAGACCCATTTCCTTAAATTTTACTCATTTTAAGCTAAATTTAAGAAATCTGGACCCATTTTTTAAAAAGTGAACCCATTTTATGAATAAAATTACACAATTGGACCCATTTTTAAAAATGTGGACACATTCTTTGTGGACCCATTAGAAAAATTGTGTGGGAATGTCCCAACTGTCTCAATAGATGGCTACAGTATTGGCAGCCACATGACTTCACATGAGAATACTTGTAGAATGTACAGATTTTAAATTAGACAAATAAATCTATGAGTGAGGGAGCTTTATACAATGACAGCTAGGGAACAAGGACAATTGCTTATGAAATGGGTGCTCAAAACATACGCTCAAATGGCTATCCTAATTTTTTAGGGTGTTCTTGATTACTGGGAACAAAGCAATAGTTGGTTTATCCAGGTAAGTATTTATAAAATGAAATAAATTTATAGTATTAATTATTACACCTGATTATGTGCAAGTAAGCATGTGTACTTTACTTCATTTTATAGACCGAAGATATTAAATAAAGGGTGAACAGGGACAGGCTAAAGTTTTTAAATTTGAGCCTGTGTTTCCCCTCCCCAAATGTTAATGGTATACAGAATATTTGAAATTCAGTTTTTTTGCACTTTGTTAAACGCACCAATCCAGTAGTTTAGTGGGGTATCACTGACTTGTAGTACATAGTTCACATCCTCAGGTGTGTCCAGTATAGCGAGGTCAGCATTCAGAGAGGACTGGCAGTCCTTGCGTGCCTCATTCCAAGTGCGGGGTTCAAGGGAGAACTTGAAACAGTTGTAATCATAACCGATCTCATAACCCTCAGGACAAAGGAAGTCTGCAAAAAAAAGTATGAACACACAATTTTTAGCACAAAATCATACACTTACAAACAGATACCATGATTATACAAAACATAAAAATACATAAAATCTTGTGTACACGGCTTTTCAACTCTTTCCAGCTTTTTTTAATAAAATTTGTTATCCTTTTTTTTTGGATATCACTAGCAAATGTAATCCTGCAAGCATGGTAATCCCCATAAATAAATTGATTGAAAATATGAATTTCAAAATTCCATAGAAATAGATGTTATTAGATGTAAATATATATTTGTAAGAATATTATTGTATGTTTAATATACTTTTGTGCTTACACATTTATATATTTATATCTGTCACTCCGTGTTTAATAGGAGAATCATTGATTATATACTGTATGCAAGTAAAAACATACAATAATCAATGGTCAATTGTTGTGCATTCGTACAGTGCACATAACTTGTTTGTATGTGAAAAATAATGACCATAATTTTTCTTACCTGATTCATTCAGAGTTTTAAGCGTGAGGGACTGGCTATCAGAGAGATCACCAAAGAGAGTGGTTGCAGCAATGGAGAAGACATAAGTCGTTGCTGGTGTTAAATCACGGATGACAGCTTCACTGGTCTCGGCACCACTCACCTGTACCTCCTTAGGAAGAGCTCCATCCTGGTATTTGATCTTGTAACCAGTGACATCACAATTATAACGGGAGGGCCGCCAGGTAAAACTGACTGAAACAGGGTTTAGAACTTGACCTCGGAAAAGACTGGGGTTTGCGTCCTCTGGGGTAAATGCTGTAAAATTATATATTAAAAAATCTACAGTTCATTCATCCTGTACTATCATTAATATTCACTATTAGCTCAAATAGTTTCATCTGGTTTCTGTGATGTATAAACATAAATAAATTCTTGAATGTAAACTAATAAACAGTATATATTTATTGGTTTACAATACAAAAATTTATTCCACGTTCGTTCATAATTTTTATCCTAATCAGGCTTAATAATTAAACATCACAGTATTTTAACAGAATATCGTTCTAAATTTCTTACATTCTATGCACAGACTTACGACAACAACTTTTTTCCTTCTATAAATCTGCATCTGTTCCACCAATCAAGATGTTAGCTGCAACACCACACTCTTTACTTCAACTCATTGGTTGGAATAGCCGACTTTTACAGTCTTTAGAATTTTATATATCCAGAATGTTTTATATATATGACAACCTACGTTTTTCAAGCCTTTCGCAGATGTAATTGTTCATCCTGGAACACTCCTCATCTTGCCACTGACCGGCTGCATTCATTTGGCCACAATCACTTAGACCATTTGAATCATCAGGTTGACCGCTTGCCCATTGTGAACGTTGCCAAACACTAGGAATACTACAATCAACCCAGCGCCAGCTATCTTCATCAGCTTGGTCATAAAATCCTACATTAAACAAGAAATTATGATAGTAAAAGCAGAGTACAATGGACCTATCTGGAGTGTCAACCAAACTTAACAACTGACCAATCAGAACACTCCCAAGAACAACTGCATGTCTAACAAGCACACTTGTTGTCCCACAAAGGCAGGTGTTTGCGTATGTTTTAACTGTCGTTTTGCGGGGCCTTAGCTACAATATCCAAGGCGCAGGGCTTAGCAGAAAAGTCTATTGATCTAACAATAAAAAGAAATCTAGGATGTATTTTTAAAATAGATATGCAATTTTTGATACTGGTGTTATTTCGTAAAGCAACAAAAAAAATCTGCACCAATATAAATTAAAATTGTAATACTGTATACAATGCTTCATTCCTGATGATGACATAATTAATGTCGAAATATTGAATCCCAACACGATGGCGTGTATTTCAATACTTGGAGTATGTATTATACTTTCTTATCTGAGATCAATCAGTGGACCTTTCAGTAAATGCTTCTTTATACTCATGTATTACAAAGTTAATGTTTTTATTGTGATGAAGCATAAGGTGATGGTGTATAGAACAATTTAATTATTATTTGTATTTAAAATTATTAGTTGTAGACTACACTACAAAATTTAAACCATCAATACACAAGATGTATATTGTATGAAAACAAGATTAGAAAAATAACTAAAAATAATTACTATGTGGTTCATCATACATGTAAATTCGAAACTCACACATTTTACATTTTGAATATTAATACTGTTTTCGGCGCTTGCACCCAGTATCTGAAAAAGTGTACCTCGCAACTAAAAGGCGGCAGAGTGAGTACTTCTTTACCGCGACACATTAGTAAACAACTTCGTCAAAAGTGGCATTGATGTGTTAAAATAATTTGTTGTATTGTAGACTTATTAATTATCTTTTATCATTCTATATCTATTAATATTCTGTATTAAATTTAGACACCAAATTAAAATTTATATTGTAAAATATAATATTTTTGTTCAAATTTGACAATCAAAATTGTTACTCTAAAGATGAATATTTGAACTATTCTTGTTAACTTGGCATATTCTTACCTATCCACCAGGTATTTTGCATGTCAGTCATGTTTCGGATGTATGAATGTTCTTCTGCATCAGCGATGACTAAAAGGTCACCACCTTCAATGGTCATACAATCACTTCTAGCATCGGCCCATGTCCGAGGGGTAGTGCTGAACTTGTAGCACGTGTAGGAAAGTCCTACAACCCAACCATCAGGGCAAAGTTCATCTAACCACAAAAAATTAAACAGTTCATTAATTACTTATTCCTAAGTTTAGGTTTTTATAAAAAGGATTTGTTGTATTTAGTTGTGAGGAAAAGCAGGTTTCAAAATATGGGTCTAGTACCCCAAGATTAAAATGCAAGATTTTTAACCACCATTCAACAGCTCTCCATCAACATTGCAGGATTTGAACCCAGGACCTTGAGAATATAAGACAGCTTTCTTAATGAGTATGCTTCACTTGTCTGGGCACCTATCTCTGTTACAGATACAAATCGTTTAAAAAGGGTGCAACGTCGCTGTAGAAGATTATGTCCTAATGACATTAATTTCCGGCCCTTGGTAGACAGAAGAAAGGAGATCGTGGATTCTTGTAAAAGAAGATTGAGGGCCCTACCGAGGGAACAGAGGGCCTATCTATCAAGCATCAGTAAGTAAAGTAAGTAAGTAAGTGTGACAGAAAGCTACAGATTCATGCTATCAACATATAACAGTTTTGAACCTATAAAACCCAAGATTGGAAGGTAACTTAACAATGGAGTCTATGGGCACTCAGTTTTCAATCACTACTGCAGCATATATTTTATACAAATCCAAGTTGGTATTTACTGAATGTATATTTTTGTATTATCTGTATTTAATTTTAATATTATAGAATTGAATAGGATTAATATTATATAATATAATTATCGCATTATGTGGCATTATTGAGATACATATTAATGTAAATTCTTTGCTAGTAATTAATTTTATGAAAAAGTCTTCACAATGATAAAAGATATTCTTACAATGTAGTATTACAAATTACACAAACTAGCAGTGATATAAGTAGCCTATGAGTGAGATACCTGGATAAACCGAATAACTGTTCCTTAAAGAACACCCAAGTGTATTCCTAAATGGTTATTTTCATAATTATACCTTTTTGAGCTGCAAAATATGAATCATTTTATGATTCATGATATTTTATAAAACATTATATGCACATATATACTGTATATAGAACTCTATATAGACAGACATAAGTTTCACAAAGGTCATTTAAAATTACATATAATTTTTACCTTCGGGTTTCAAGGTTTTTACAGTGGTAGATTCTTCATATGGTAGAACACCAAAGGAGTTTGTGTAGGATGTAATTTCAAATACATATAAGGTATCTGGCAGTAGGTTTTCGATGACAACAGTGTTCGTCTGAGATCCTGGGAAACTTTTCTCAATCTATTAAAGATAAAATAAAAAGGTTATAATCATTATAACTATTACTATTATTATTATTAATATTAATATTAATATTATTATTATTATTATTATTATTATTATTATTATTATTATTATTACTATTATTATTTTTATTATTATTATTATTATTATTATTATTATTATTATTAATATAACTATTATTATTATTATTATTATTATTATTATTACAGGTCTCCCTCCAATTAAAGACCACTTTTGGGACCATGGAGGGTTTCCATGGTCTTTAGTAGCTTTGTCTCTAATTAGAATAACAAAGATAAAAGACAATTGTGAATTTGGGATCACAGAAAAATGGTATTTAATTGGAGTGGTCTTTAATTGGCGGGTCTTTATTTAGAGGGAGACCAGTATTTATACTAAAATAAATCTGTTTGGATTCTTTAAATTGGGTAAAATAGTTGCCAATGGCGTGTTATTCAAACCCAACAAAAAAAATTTTAAAAATAGAAAAAAAAATAGTAATGTAATGATTACATTTTTCCTGATAAGACACTATATTGATATATTGTATACATATCCAAGTCTCTAAAATCGGTAAAAATATAAAAGTATTTTATTTTTAATTTCAATATTGATAAATTATATTTTCCTTTTAAACTTTTTAAACTCACATATCCATTTGTCCCATTGTAACGAACAGTATAACCCAGTACGTCACAGTACCGAAGTGGTATACGCCATGACAAAGTGATGCGTGTTGGCGCAATGGAATCTGCCTCTAAGCGAGTAGGGACAGCATCTGCAGGATCATACACTGGAAAAAAATATCATTTATAATGCAGTCACTCTCATGAATACTGATGACAACAAAATATATTGATATTCATATTTTATATTATTAATATTTATTAAATATGAATACTTATTAAATATTAATTAACTTTTATTTATTTTGTTTTACCATTTTCAATAGAGTAAACCATCCTGCAGATGTCAATAATTTGACTCTTGGAACAACATTAATAACACTAAAAATTATACTAATAATAAAGAAATATGACATTAATAATATATTTCTTCATAATAATGAATTTTTATATATATTATTATTTATTATAGTGATATTAATAGATTACTATAATAAAGTGGTTTGCTGTACAATATTTAACAAGCTTCAAATTCAATAAAAAACAGACCAAATATATAAAATGAATGAATTGAAATACACTTACATCTCTCGTAGTGTTCACAAACATACTTAACAGGTGTCATACAATCTGTATCATCATACATGCCACTGGAGCCTACAAGCTTAGCACAGTTTGCACTAGTCACAGCATTGCCATCTGGTTGCCCAGGAGCCCAGTTGGAAACTGCCCATTCTGTGCTTGCCAGACAGTCAACCCAGAACCACTCTCCCTCCACAGAGCGATCATAAAAACCTTCAGATAATAAAGGAAGCATAGATTTAAAATATTTCTATAATCAGCAAGATATAGCAAGCAAAAAAAAAGATAAAATACAAAATTTATGGCCTCAACTGGATATGCCTCATCGAATTATAGATTATTACTTCTTGAAAATAAGAATCTCAAAACATCCGTTTTCGTAATACAGTAACTGTCTTTTAGTTTTATACACACCTACAATAAAATAATAATATTTTTCATAATTTTTAATATTCATACAGGAAAGCATTCATGATTTTATTTTTTTACAAAGTGTTTAAGAGATTCCTGCTATGGGTTAGCCTAGCCTGAATAAGTTGTAATGGTGTCTTTACCAATCCACCAGTCATCTCCTCCACCAACACCAGCCAGATAATCATTCTCTGTCTTGTCATTGACGATAACAAGATCAGCACCTGGAGTTGAGAGACAATCCTCTCGGGCATCCAGCCACGGTTTTGGCTCCGAGCCAAATTTATAGCAAACTGTCTCATTATCCCTAGCGGCAGCGTAACCATCAGGGCAAAAGTCTGAAATAGAGTAAGAAAATTTGATCGAAGGTTTTTCAGGATATACAGTACACACTAAAGAGAAAAACATGATGGCACTTGAAATAAGCCCTATGTGGCTTTGTTCAAAGCCATCTTCAGTATCTTGTGTTCTTTACTCTTATATCTACTGCCTTCAGATCAGTGGCATTACTAGGAGTCTTGAAATGGGGGGGGGGGGGGGGAAACTGATGCGATATCGAAGGTTGAGTGGGGACTCGATGATAAAGTGAGGGGTGCTCAAGTTGCTAGGTGATTGTTAACTAGTCGAGGGTGACTTTTCATCTTTGGACATTTCAAATGGTCGGGGGAAGGGCACCAAAGCTATTTTTTGGGGGGAGGAGGTACATCCCCTAGATATGCCACTCTTTCAGATGAGATGTTAATTATTTAATGTGTGTATAATGACTCTTCATATAAAGACAAACTCAATAAAGTAATTTTTAAATGTGAATTTTATAGAGTAGTGTGTGGATCATCCATCTCTACTGTTTTTATGACTGCCTTCTAAAAATGAAATATGTTCTAAACATGCCATGTTGGTTTCTCTGCAGAAGTCAACTACAACATTATAAGGATATGACATATATTGTTTAGACACATATTTTTATTTGCATACTTTGCTTATATTATACAAATCACCTATTGGTTACACATGTCTGCAACTTACGTTTAGCTTTCCAAGTAAGGTAAAATCCAGAGGAACTGCTAGAAGAGTCTGAGATGAACTTTAAGTTTAACCCATTTGCAATACTTAAAATCTTCTCTGGTAACACGTTACCAGTTAAAATCTTTAAAAAGAATAAAATTAATTTTTAACTAATCACAGATATTAAGTATATATTTTACACTCAATAAAAAAAAAGTACTGTACTATACGTTTACATAGGTACATCCTGCAAAAGTTATCTTAGGACCCATAACTGCAGGGCATGGTGACCGGGCTGTATGGACCTGTACACCAGGGTAACCTACTTGTTTTAAGGATGTACTTGGTTCTTTAAAGCGTACATGAGCTGATTGTGTATTCTGGTCCTACGGTTTATAAATAATACTTGTTCCTATGACTCGATAAAGTTCTCCATCCATTTAAAATATTTTTTAAATATGATAAGCTTATCTTTGTATGGTGCTCAGAGGGTGATAGATTAAAAAGTAGCATATTAAACATTAAAAAACCTAGTCATTTATTTAAAGCCCACTCAAAGTTCAATGTTAAGATATTTACAATTTCTTGGTCTTCTAGAGGGTCTTGTGTTATTCCACCAAAAATGAGGAAGTCGCGTCCTGTCTCTAAGTTAAACTCCATGAAGGTCACTTCCACCTGGAAAGTACCAGCCACCTGGATAATCCAGATGCAATCAGCACTATTAGGATACATAGAGGGATAACTTGGAGATACTATTTGTCCACTTGAACCAAAGAGTGAAGAGATTCCACAGCCATCTGCAAAAACAAAATATAAAAATAATTGTTATAATGATAATATCCTTATATTATAAATAATAATAAAAAGATAACATTAATAAATAGTAGCAATAACAATAACTCAATTACAGTAATAACACTAATAATACCTAATAATTATACAACAACATACTCATGGTAATGGTGGTGGTGATGATGATGATAATGATGATGGTGACAATGATGATGATTATGATGAAGACAACAGAGATTTCTTTAAATATGTCTTCTTCATCAGCATTATCTACATACTGTATATTGAAGAAACAAAATTTTGCTTTTTAAAAATGAATAGTTAGCAAATAATAAACCATCACCATCCTGACCACCACCTGTCAGTACCACCATACTAGTGTTCAATGCCAAACCATGCGGTCATTCTCAACAGCTCACTCTACAGGCAGGACATTCACGGTGCAGTCTACCTCTGTAATAGATTCCTAAACAGCATTGTTAGAGAGATCACTGACAAGGGTGCTCAGTCCTTTTAGCATCATGCATACATTATAATAATCATAATCTATCGGCACATACATTTGAAAAACTCTTTACTCTACCCGTGCAAAAAAATTAGAATAAACACTATGTACCATCATAGGCATTGATAATATATCCATCCCCAGAATTGGTAGCGTCAGAGGTGAAAATGACCCATAATTCATTTGAACTTGCGTGGTAGCTGGATTCAGCTGCTATTGATCCAGTAAAGGAGAACAACTGAGAAGAGAAATCCGTAGGATTTGGTCCACTTCCAAATAATAAGAAATCATAGCCTTCCTCTACAAAGATCAAACAAAAATTAGGATCATTAAAGTGCATTCTAAATTTATGAGAAAATTATTTATCTAGAACGATATATTGAATGGCACTTAAATGACAAAATAAATGGCATCTGTTTACATCGAAATTTGAATTCAATTAAGCTTTTGTACATACTATCAATAATTACTGTATGTGTTTGTATAATAATGTGCAAATCACAGATATTGTAATAATAATAATAATAATAATAGTAAAAATAATAATAATAATAGCACTATAATAGCCACTTGGCTTTAATATTTAGCCACAGAAAAACAACAAAACAAGTAAATTTTTATTAAACCAGAGACTTGCAGGTGTCAACGTTCCTATGCGTGACACTTACAACCAAACATATTTTCTGATTAAGTCATCATAAATGACATAATCAGAAAATATGGTTGGGTCAAATTTGTGTGGTAGTTGAAAAATTCAGGGTGAGTCTTTATGGCCCAAAATAGTGATTTTAGACCACATTGGTAATGTAATTTGATAGGCAAATTACAGTAATATTTTTAGCAAATTTCTTTGAAAAAATTTCGTAGGCCTAGGGCCTGGCCTAGCTAGGTATACAGTATTTTCATTTTACAGTAGTTTGGAACGATATTGGGAGTGGGGGAGCTGGTAGTGACCTACTAGACTACAATTTATTTGAAAATAGCTTGGGCCCGATCGTTCACACCAGTTGGGCCCAATTGTCTGTCACCCGAAGTTTTCATCCCAATGATAAAGAACGTACAACGATCTAAGCCCTAGGCTAGGTCTAGCCTTGCTGCCGTCACTCTGCTACGTATACTACCGCATTACAAAGAAAGCGACCCACACAGTGCAATCTTAAATTTTACACACATTATTTAAATGTATTTTTCGTATTAGACGATAACACGATATCATTGATTAAACGATCTACCACCCTTGCATCGCAGTAACTACTGTACTAAACTTGGCATAAGCCTCATGTTTTTGTGGAAAGCCTAAGCTAGATAGTCGTTATGTACTCGGTAGTCGGCTGCCTTTATATCTTCAGTTTGCATTCAAAGGGTACACTGCTGAATAGCCAACTGTCGGGGATACTCATACAACAGAAAAAAAACGTCGCATGGAGGTAGCGAAAAATCGAGATCTAAATGAAAAAACGATGTATTTCAGCTAGTATTAAAACCTTTTTTTTATTTTAGGCCTTCTTCAAAATGCCTATGCCTACAGCAGTTGAATTTTTTTGCCGCAAAACCAAAATAGTTTCATCCATGCCGACTTGCCGATCGGTTAGCGTGAGCCCTGACTGAACACTGCAGAAACTTCACATCAAACTTCGCATCGCGAGCAAAAACAAAATGTCTGGAAACATTTTTTTTTACATATGCACATTTGCATAAATGTATACACACACACACACACTACACACAGGGAAAACAGTGAAAAGTGATTACATTAGTTCCTATTGCATTACATGCATAGGAACTAAAAATATTACAATGCTGTTCTTCCGAAGACATTAAAAAAATCAGTTAAAATCAAAACAGAGAAAAATATGAAAAAGATGATTTAAAAAATAGAAACAGATTACTACATTAAATTAGCAAATAATATGGATGGAGGTTAAAATGTTTTAATGTCTTTTAGGAAAATTTCAATTCAATTCGAGTAATATTTATTCCAAATTTCACAAATATTAATCTGTACATAATCTTATGAAATTCATATAGATAGTTCGCAATATTTTAACCATTTTTTAAATCAGGGGGCACCAATTTCATACAGGTCTAAATGTATTTTCTAACTAAACGATTTGTTTTCCTTGATGTGATGTCAAATTTTTGAGTCAAACTGTGCCATTTCCAGCTGAGAACCATCCTACATCTGTGAAAGCCCCTCCCTGCCCACACTTCTAACTTGGGACCTCTGCTTTCATCTATTGTTAATAAGAAAATAGTTTTTCCCAAATGTCTTATTTTTTTGCAACCAATAGCGAATTTGTCTTTGTTTCTTGTGCCATAACCAAGCTACGATGATATTCAAATGTATGAAAAGAAAAAACAATGAAAGCTCTGTGAGCACTATCAAGTTGACAAGTGACAATCTGTGACTTGCTCCCATATGGGCATGATAATGGCATTGAAATTCAAACTTTTAATGACTTTATATCCATCTTCAGTTATAATACTGTAAAACCCAGAATACAAGCCCAGTGGGCTCAACCCCATGAAGAGGTTCATCTCAAATTGAAGCCCCGGGCCCTCTTTAGTTTGCAAAGGTTGGCTCAAAAAGAATGGCTTCGAAAAGTCGAGATAGTACAGTACATACACAGTACATGAATTTCAAAGAAAAAAAAATTTAAAACATGCTTGGTTTCCACAGTGGTTTAGGTGATCTAATGCCGGTTAATACACTTCATGATACAGAATGATGTTACAGTGGCCCGATTTATTGTAATTCCCAAAATTTACAGCATTCATTTTGAAAAGAAGCCCCACTCTTTACTTTGCAAGAGTAGCCTCAAAAACAGAAGCCAATCTCGAAAACAAGCCCAGCCGAAGTTCTAAAAAAAAAAACAAGAAGCCAGGGATTCCTATTCGAGGTTTTACGGATTAGAAACACATGACCAAATACTATAACTCTCCTCAATAGATTGCATGAATAAAATGTATCGCTCACCAACATCTAACTTCATGAGGTCAAATCGAACATATGTTCCTCTTTGGCTTGAAATTTTGTAGAGACAGTACTCATTGTTGTTATATAGACCTGGACTGTTGGCTGATATTACTTGAACACTGCCACCATTTGGAATTACTAAGTCTTCACCACACTCTGTCAGAATGATAGAAAAATTTATATGAAAAAATACATAATGTAATATCATATAAATAATGTTAAATTTATACAAATTTTTTTTTATTAATCATCCCCCTAAGGCTCCTGAAAGTTAAGTTCCTTCAAAATTTTTAACATTTATTTTTGGTCAACTTTTAAAAATCGATGTTAAGCGCATCAAAAACCCGGCATTTTGAGCACTGAATCTTAACGTTGCAGTCGCTGCTGCTATTAACACTCTGACCGCCAGGGGTTTGAAAAAATCAGCACCGCCAGACTTTTAGCAAATACTTTTCCGAAGCTCGTTGAGAGTGCGTATGTGATCAGATTGACATATAGTGAATATAGTAAGAACTACGAAGCTTTACAATGGTACCAAACACTATATTCTAATCACAATCTGTGAAACGTAACAGTAAAATGACTCACTTTTAGAGATTTACGCAATTTTGCACAACAAACCTGAGATAATCGTGATTTCGTGAAAGTAAATCAATACCGCTCTACACTAATGTAAACAAAACAGATAGTGAAATACTAACTTACGGTCCAGACTGAATATAGTGTTCTAATTGTTAGTACATGTCAATAATTACCCCATCTATCGGATTCCGTAAAAAAAACAGAAACACAGAGATCTTTGTGCTTGGTGGTCAAGCGTTGCATTACTAAACACAGAGATCTCTGTTTGGCGGGCAGAGTGTTAATACTTTTATCCATAAATACTTCATTGTTCAATGCACTGAATAATAAAATGAATAAGTTACTAACTTGTTTTCATTGAAACCACAATCTGAAATCCAGCACCAGTGATATCAGAGTCAGAGATGAATTGAATCCAGGCTGTAGAGCTATCTACTACCATTTGTGAAGGTTTATCTGGTCCACTAAACTTTCCAATGATGGACGTAGCGTCAGACTCGTCAGATCCACGACCAATTAAAACATAGTCATACCTGACATTGTACATTGTAATGTAATTAATGGCATATATAACTGACTATTTAATAAATTATAAAATATTTGTTTTTCTAGGCACAATTGAAAAATTAGTAGATTATGTCATTAGTACATAAATGTGAGGCTCGTTTTCCAAATAGCTAGTGTATATAGAAAAATACCATATCAATTGGTTTATATGCTAACTTAATTGGTAAATAAAATACATTCAAACCAGTAATGGTGCCAGTGGGAGGGATGCAGAAAGAGTTACTCCTCATTGGGAAGAAAAAACAGCAATCGTCAGGGAGAAAAGTATTATTTAATTTTTCCAGAATGCAAATCTATTGCCTTTTAAAATCCCTAAATCTCCAAATTTTAAGGGGTTCTGCAAAATTGGCCCCACTGTCAGGCAAATCCTGGAGACACCACTTCTTTAAATGCCTCGAACCTGGGTTGAGTCTGTGGCCTTATCATTCCGGTTGGCTTGGGACCGGACTAGCTAAGATGAGCCTAGTACCTAGAAGTCTGCTACACCTAGTGTAGTGTAAGTACAGTAACTTTAACACTTGGGAGTACACTATTGTTGCAAACGAAATCATTATTTTATTGAATAGTTTTGTAGTGATTTTGTAGAATAGATAGAGATCCTAAACAGAGCTGACACTAACTAATAATTGGGTAATAAATTTCATTAATTTAGAAAGGTGGTTTAGCTCAGTTGGCACAGGCTTGAAACAGTACTCAATCAAAGGATTGCTGATTCATTTTTCACACCAGCATATTATTTCATCTAAACTTGTCACTATGTATCATCATTGTATAATTCCAATTGATATGCAGGTAACAACTATATCATTATGACCATTGTCAATACAATTTAATCATTTACACTACTCACATGTACTCAAGTACAAAGGATTGGAAGTCGATGAGAATCCCATTGTTTTCTGATCCAGCAATTTTCCAAAGGCAATTGGCATTATTTTCATAATTATTAGGATATGATGGGCTAACAATAGTCTGGGCCCCACCAGAAACATCCACAGTATCTCCACACGTTGCCTGGATAACTGGTACTTCCGACATGAGTTTATCCTTAGGTACTGTAAGCGCTAGAAGAAATAATGACACAAAAATAACAATATTAGCAATTCATCTTATTAAAAACCAATCATACAGTTATCAGACAGTGTAGAGTGCAGTATTCTTTAAATAATGTGAAGCTTTGTATTGTACATTAAATATGTAAGTTCACATGCTGGCAGCTCAAAGAATATCAATATTGAAACTATTCTTTATATTCCTAAATAGAGTTCATCAGTTCAAATTTTTACATAACTTATTTTAGACTTTACTTAGATTACAGAGGAGAAAGATTTGCACACACATTTCCCCATGAAAGTCAATTGTTGAAATACCTATATGATAGAAATTGTTCAGGATATAGAGAACTACAGTGTTACGTCACGATACCACGTGATACTACTCCGTTGCTATCGTTGAAAAAGCGTTCAACAGGATGCTATTTTCTTTACTGACACACCATTGATCTCAATTTCTAATTTAATTATTAAGATGTTGCTTCTTACTTTTTCTTAGTAAATTTTAATTGATGATTAAATGTGTGTTCGATAACTAATATAATACAAACTTTTGTTACATTTTGATGGTAAAATATTAGATTTTAAAATGCCTATTCCAGAAAGCCTATGAAGTCATTCAGGCGTATTGAACGGTAACCAACGTCACCTGGCGTTGTGACGGCACAACTGTGGTACTATATGCCTTTATGAGTGGGAAGGCTTGATAATTACGCGAGGGGGTGCTAGCTGGCAAAAAATATTGATATGAGGTGATTTTTAACTACTTGAGTGTAATTTCTTTGTTTCAAAAATTTCTGGTGGGGGGAATGGAATAATGCCAAGAAGCTTTTTTTTTACTGCACCCACCACACACCCCCCAGATTCTCTATTGCTGATTATTAAAACCTATTACATGTGCAAGTAATCTATTACAAAAGCAAATTTGTATTATTAATCTACCACTTTAATATAAAACATAGGATGGAAAAACATAAAAAGTGAATAAAACTTACATGGATCAATTTCCTCTGCTGCTAAACTGAAACCACGCCCAATAACTGAGAGATCTGTTCTCATCATAAATGTGAGGGTGTCTGATTCTGAGATGACACTGGCGGGCACGATATCACCAGTGATAATTGTTTGTTGAGCATCATTAAATGACAAGTAATCGTAATTGGACTCAAGGTCAACATCAAAGAAGTTGACAACAATAACATTGGTGGTCACGCTAGCCTTTAGTGTCCAGGTACAGTTTTCGTAGTTGGAATAGCTATTGGGGTAGTTGGTGGACTGAATACGCATCAAGCTGCCCTCTTTCAAAGTGTACATTTCCCGGCAGTTCTTATCCACAGGTAGAGCTGTAAGAAATATAAAATATATCAAATATGTGAATGATGACACTACAGTAAGCAATGATTCTTGTGTTGAACTGTTAAATATTATGTGTTTGTATGGGTAGTGGATATTTTATGACAGTGGTAATGAAATACGTAGTAACTCTTTACAATTTTGCCATTTAAATTTAATGTTATTATTTAAGAAAATTCAGAAAACAGTTTCTGAATAACCTGTATCATAAGCAGATTTGAGGTTCCTATATGCATGATATATGCACTTTGTAACCACAAGGAAAAGGTGCTATATAAATGATCATTATATTATTAATAGCACCAATGCACTTTTAAACTCCTTGTAGGAGTACAAATGATCACTGTCTCTCACTTTTCCACTAAAACCTTAAAAATATTTTCATTCTATCTCCTAAAAATATCATCATTATAAGAGAATGAAATTATAATGATGAGAGAATGAGGTAGAGTAGTGAACATACTGATGCTTACTTGGTTAGTGATCTTGTACTATCTTTTGATGTTTAAAAACAACACTGTGATACACTAGAAGTGCGCAGTTTAATGTTCATGTATTTTTCTATAATTGTATTAACTCCAATAAGAAATATATTAGTTTACCTTCATGTTCCTCCTCATAACCAATCAGAAACCCTGACCCTACTGCACCTTGGCTCAAGGGGCCAGACACAAAGTGAATTTTAACTGAATTGGTCATGCTGACGTAATCCTTTGGGCGTTCTACACCTGTTAATGTCTACAAAAATATTTACATATAGTTGTTTATATTAAGCCTAAAAATATATAATTTTTGTATAGGCTTAAATAATGACAGCAAGCAGCCAATTGAATGGGGCGCATTTAGGGAGCAGCACAGGGACACATTTCACCACCACCACCCCCCCCCCCCCCCCCCCCCCCCCCCCCCCCCCCCCTTCTCTTTCCTTCCATGTACAGTATTTGGTTTCCATCGCAATTCACTCTGAATACTTTGCACCACCTTAGATCTGTCTCTTATACACATCTAGATGTGTATACCTCCCCACACCACACTTCACTTTGCATTATTCCAAGAAACTGGTACACCTGTTTATAAAATCCTTGATCTGCCCCAGAATGCATATAAAACCATATAAGACTAGTTTGTTAGAGGGATTATAGAAGGCAGTTTAAATGCTAAGATAATTTGCGAATACCCATACTGTATTTGGCAATAGAAAACGAAGTAAAGGCATAAAACAATTTTAAATAGAAATGATACTTCAAATAAAATCGCCATACCAACATATTTCTGTCATCTTCTCCAGTATTTAAATCTGTGATTTCAATGTAGTCATCATGGTCAACAAGATCAAAGCTCTCAAATCGCAAACGTACACGCATGTTGTTATCAGGAAGAGTTATAATGTACGCACAGTCTGCATTCGGTGGGTACTCCACCGGAAAGTTAGGTGAGGTGATATTGCCTGCAGTATCTGTTAGTGTGCCATCAGAACAATCCCCTGCAAGATACCCAAAATATAGCCTTTTATATATAAATTTTCAATTCCTCTATTCATTGGCCAATTCCTCTACTCTCTGACAATTCCCCTACTCTCTGACAATTCCCTACTATTTGGCATTTCCCCAACACTTTTAAAATATTCTTGACCAATTCCTCTATTCCAATTGTTTAAAAATCACCGCCATTTGATTTTCTGATATGTATGCAGTTCTGTCATATATATATGCAACAACCAAATTTATTTTTGCATACTTTACTCTTCAAGCTAATAAAGAGAGCAGTGATTGAATATGAATTTCATATTCCTGATATGAAAAAGTTGCATTTGTAAATTGTAGACATTCTTGTTATATCTTTGCAGGAACCAGACACTACATATTGTATGTGATGTTATATCCAGCTTTTGCAAGTTGTTGTACAAAGACCTTTTACAAAGATACCAAATGTTCAAAAAAGCATACCGGATGTAAAATTGCGAGTAGTCAGTACAAGAGGGTCGCTGTACTCAATGTTTCCTACAGCTGTTAAGGCCCCGATTTGGAATGAATACTCAGTACCAGAACGTAGTCCTTCAATATCTGCCATATCGCTGTTTTTACCCGGAATTACTACAGTCTGAATGGAGCGATCTACGTAACGGATTCTGTACTCCACTACATCACAGTTGCGCGATGATGGCTTCCAAGTCAGGGTAACACTGAAAGGAGATGATACCACACCGGCAAATTCACTTGGGTTGATCTCATAACCTAGCAAGTGTAAAGAGATTAAAATAATTTCTCATTCAAATGTTAAAAATATAAATAAATATTCAAAAAAGACATTAATGCTTAGGGTAAGAAATGTACCACTTGTGACACATTAGAGTAAGTCTTGGACTGAGACCTACTCCAAAGGGGGATCAAGTTCAAATCCTTAGCATCTTCCTTTCAGTGTATACAAGGTCATGCAGGAATACATTCAACAAGGAACTACTCATATATAGACTGATCCATTTACTGTGATCTCTTTCTGCAGATGTCATAGCTGGGGCCTTCCATGTACAGTATTTGGTTTCCATCGCAATTCACTCTGAATACTTTGCACCACCTTAGATTGACATGACATATTCTGGAGGTACGTTGCAAAGGTTGCGCCAATAGAGAGCATAATTTTATAATAACGATTTGTCTATACTCTTGGGTGGAAAGAGACAAATATTTAATTTAACGACACAAGCATAGCTGCACAAAGGACAAAAAAACCTCAGACTCAAAGGTCAAGAGCTCGAGTAACAAATGCTATGTTTCCTAATTGTTAATTTCCAATGGCTTACCAATGTCAACAACTTCACAAATATACTGATTAGTCTCTTGACACATCCAGTCATTCCAAGCACCTGATGGCATCATCATGACACAGTCTTGATTGCCATCAACATCATTGGGTTGGTCATCCCCCCATTGCTGTCCCTGCCATGTCGAAATGGTTGAGCAATCTCCCCAGTAGAAACTGCCCTCTTCTACTTGATCGTTCAGTCCTGCAAATAACCAACAAATACTTAATTATTATCTATTTAAATTAAATAATGTTATTTTATATTTGGATTATTATACCAATATCAGAGCAGGGGTGGCACCACCCACTGGCAACACCCCTGTATCCGAGTGCTATGAACAAGTCAAAGAAAATTTAAAGCAAGTAGCACTCTACTCAGCCACAGACGATTTTCACTTCCATTGGCAACTTATGCTGCAAAGAAGGTACAGTTTAAAACAATTTTCTTGCCATAGACGAGAAAACCAGTGCAAAAGATCCTTACTTTTCCTAGAGTAAAGAATGGCAAAAACTTAGTGGAATTGTTTCTCCAAGTGCTTTATAACTGTTATTTTTATTCCAAAAAATAAAGTGCAGAAAATCAATGTTTGTCTCCTCAAGAAAAGACAGAGATTGCTATAAAGAAATATTTCGCACAACATTATTGTGGGCAATTGAAAACAGGATAAATGTTAAAAAGACTTACCAATCCAGCAATCACCTCCTCCAGTCCTGTTCATTAGCATGTTTTTCTCGATTGGATCTCTTATTATAACAATGACTGCACCATCCTCCATGCAACTTTTTTGAGCATCTGCCCAAGTGGCTAGCTCTTTGACAAATTTGTAACATACGCCATTCACTTTTTCGTACTCATAAGGACAACTTCCCTCTGAAACACAGAAAACAGAAACAAGATTTACAATCTTTTTCCTAAGGTAGTTTCAGTGGCTGATTCAAGGTTTCAAGAAAAGGGAACTCATTCCCCCGACGAGGGGACAGATTTCTCCGACGAAAGCAAAGTCAGCGTGGTCAAGCTTCAATTAAAAGGCTCTAAAAATGGTCAAGGGCATAACAAAGACAATATTTAATCAATTTTAAAGTCTAATATGTAGGAAATACTCATAGACGAGGTAGGGGGCCCTGAGTTTCGGAGGTGGAAAGTAGCCAGGAGAGAAGTTGGAATCTAATTTTGGTGAATTTAATTCCAGTGATTTTTCTTTATCTAAATCTATATGACTTTAGTCATTACAGTCTCTTGCAATAACTCTAAACATTGCAATTGAGTGACCAGCTGGATTGAAATTTCGGTTTACTGGTAGATCAAGGGAGAGGTTTTGACAGCTGTGTCATTCTCCTACAAAGTGATATTCTTGTTTCTCTGACATACTGATAAGATTAATGACTTTTTTCGTGAGGTAACTGATTGATTGATTGCCTTATATTTTATACAAGATATGTGGTCTATTTGGTTGCTCATGAATGATTGTGTAGAATAAAGCAAGGAGTATGTTTCGTATACTGAACCAAGAAGACGAGTATCCAAATATATACAATATCGTAACAAAAACAACCAAACATTTCAGAAAAATTACTACTTCATTGCAGACATGAAGCGCTATGCTTGATACGATTATAATATCTTAAGTTCCCTATTGTTCCCCTAATGCTTGTCATATTAAAGGCTGTGTAATGCTTATGGATGAATTTGTGTTAAGATGTGAAAAAAAATAGATAAACCAACACATCATGTAGACATCTATTTGGTATTGTTAACTATCTGTTCTAACGAAAAAAAATGAAAGTAAAAAAAACAATACCCTGTTTAACTGTTGTTGTCAAGTTGACAGATTCACCCTCAACAATTGGCAGGTCACCATAAAATGCAACTGCATTGATCCTAAATGTGTATGTAGAGTTTGGCTCAAGACCAGCAATGTCCGACTCGGTCTGGTCACCACCTACAACGGAATATTGTCCAACTCCAGACCCTGTGTATGTGACCATATAACCGACAATATCACACCTTTTTGTTGCAGGTACCCATTGCAGATTGACACGGTTGTATGTAACAGTTGCTCCGGTTAGTCCGCTTGGGTTTTGCTCCAACTTGTCAACACCTGGGAAAAACATCAAGAATGTTATTTACTAGTCTAAGAGTGGAGTTGAATAGCTTGGTGGTTAAGATGCTTGCCTTCCAATCCCAGGGCCCTGGGTTCAATTCCTGTCAGTGCTGCAGGATTATTTCTCACGTCCAAAAAAAATCCACTCCCTAAATCTCATATTGATATTTAGTTTGTGTAAAGCATCGTGTGTGTATGTTTGTCTTGTGTAAGGAATTGTCACCTACAAGTAGGAAAGTGATATATTTGCAATTGACAATCCTTGGCACATGTATTGTGTGTCTAAAAAAATAAATGAAAAATAAATAAATAAAAATAAGCCAGGGGAAGATCCAAAATTGTTCCTGGGGGCAGGGGGGTTGGATATGCATTGAAATTTAAAAATTTAGTGGAAACGGAGGAGGTGGGTACATGTCCCGTTGCCTAGTCTAAGTGGGATGGAATGAATTTCTATTGTTTTATATTGTTTTAAAATTCCAAGAATGAAGAAAAGATAAATGACTGGATAAACTCATTTAGAGTGGTTTCATCTGTTACATGTGCATTAAAATTATAGTATGTACAGTATTTTGTTTTCATTGTAAAATACAGTTAACTGGTAAGACAACATCCAAAAGAAATTTGTAACAAAATTAAATATATCTTTAATATACAAACTATTGAAGTGTTCTATGCCATATGTTCCATATCATGCCTTCATTATCTTTTTCTTTGTATTATCTTTAATATTACCTTTAATTTGTTTTGCCATACATTTTTTACTATTATAGGTCTTATATAATACAGTATAACAGTTTAAAACTGTTATATTATACAAAACCCATAATAGTAAAAAAAAATATACGGCAATACAAATTAAAGTTGATATTAAATATAATACAAAAAAAAAATCAAAATTTTCAAATAACTGCCAAGGCTGGCATAGTGTTTGCAATTTGAAATACACATTTATAATGCTGACAATATTTCACAAGATTATAAAGAATCAAATCTTATCAAAATGAAATACACAGATCCAGTTGCAGCGCCAGCAGGAGGTGGCAGGAGGCTTAAGCAACCCCACCGAACAGGTCAAGCCCCCCCTGTTAGACGGAGCTTGTTGGGCAGTCAGACCTTAAAAAATATATAAAAATAGGCTCACACCAAGACAACACATGTCTGTCACAGTCTGAGAGTGTCATTTCCGACCATCCACAGGTTCCTATTCTTAAAAAAAAATCTCATTTGGGAAGGATACACCCTCTCAAACCCTTATCCCAGCCCGGGCCTACGAGTTCAAGTCTCCCGTGTCGGACACCTTAGCGACCACCCCCCCCCCAGAAAATATATCCTAGAGCCGCCACTGTACAGACCTTCTTTAGGAATTTCACAGATGTAAGGCAGTGTAAGAGCACAGGTCCAATCATTCCACTGGCCATCATCTCGGATTTTTGCACAGTTTTCCATGTTGTTTAAATTGTTTGGTTGACCAGGAGCCCAATTACTTTTCTGCCAGGCATTTGATGAGCTGCAATCTGCCCAGTACCAACTGCCTTCACTGACTTGATCATTAAAACCTTTTTATTAAAAATATTTGAAGATAAATTTGTTTATGTTATTTTTAGTGACTTTAATTAATTTTCCTTCATTTAAATTGATAATTGTGATCAGAGCTAGCATTATAAAGATTAAACATAAGAATGTGACATTTTATGTTCCATTTACAGTAATTTTTTAACATTACAGTAAAAAATTAAAATATATTCACTATATTTGATAATAAGAAATCCTGTTAAAAAAATTAGAGCTAAAATATATGAGTTAAAAAAGTAATACCCTTTTCAGAGAGGCTTTAAGGCCAAACATAAAATCTATAGCAAACATCTTTCTCATATTTTATATAAATAATCAATTAAATGGAAGCATTTTGAAAAATATATATATTTCTCCACCTTTCTTAGTTACTATGCACTTTTATTATATTTGTAGTCAATACTGCAATCAGCTTTGAGCTGGGTAATTAACAAGAATAAAAAAGTACCAAACAACAGCCAAATACAGTTTCAATTACTTTAAAACGCAAAACATACCAATCCACCAGTCACCACCGAGAGTTGTGTTCATTACATACTCCAGCTCATTAGCATCATTTATAATGACAAGGTAGCCACCATCATCTGCACATGTGGTCCTGGCTTGTTCCCATGTCACTATCGCCTTACCAAACATGTAGCAGTTGTTATTGAAGCCTACTTCATAGCCCAATGGACATACGACTCCTGAGGATGGTCAGTCAATGAAATCATAAATAAATTACAGAATTTGATATCACACAGACATTATAAATAATAATTTTAAAGACTTTTTGTTACATAATAACATTTTGAAAGCAGCCAGTAATTATAATAATAGTTATTTTCTTATATTTACAGTACAGTATATGTTGATAAGACATTGCATACATACACACATACCAGTTAAGACTGTATTTACGACATCTGGTTCTAAAGCTCCGAACGTTACTGTTTGCGCCGCAACACTGAATTCATATTCAGTCAGTTGATCAAGATTGTAGAAAACCTTAGCATTGGCCAGTGCACCTTCCACATATTCTATTGTGGGCATGTTACCAACCTTTGTCCAGGTCACCACATACCCAACTACATCACAAAGACGTATGGATGGTGTCCAGTACATCTGCACCGTCGTAGGCTCTAAGAGGTCAGCCCGAACAAAGTTTGGATTGGCAGATGTCTTATTCAAATCTAAAGAGATGCATAAAAAAAATCAACATATTTTCCATCAATTTTTACTAAAATAATACACATTTTAAAACCTTTTTACATTCAATAATGAATGTCTATGCTCAAGCAAATAATTTGTATGTTAATCAAAAGTGAGCAAGTTAATTTCAAAATTATTTTTCATTTTAATTTTTAAAAAAAGAAATTTTAATTAATTATTAGTACAAATAACAAATACTAAGAATAAAATTGCCGTGTAGTGCATTTGGCTTTTTCTGCTACTTCCGAAAAGCAATTTTTTTTCTGTTATAATTTTATTCTGAAACTTTTTTCCCTATGTTTTTGCACTTCACACAAACAAATATTGGTAGCATAATATTTTTAATGCATTATTTTTTAACTTCACAATTTCAAACACTTTTTATTATTTTAATGAGGAAAAGCCATCATTCCGGTTATACAACCAGACATCTAATTTTACTTATTTCCTTAAAAGGAACCTTTACATACCTCGGGGGAAATATTCACAAATATATCCATAAGTATTATTGCAAGGCTGCGCATCCCAGCCGATGTCTTTCAACTTCACTGCACAGTGTGGTTCTGTATATGTATCATTCATAATGAATTGATCATAGGTTGGTGGACGACAGGTGTTGACCTGTGCCCACATGTTGATACCATGCCAATCATAGAGACCTATTGTAAATAGAAGTACCTATGAGCTATTGATAAGTGTTGCTTTATTAAAAATATACTTTCTGTTTAACGAGTTAAACTAAAAAAATATAATTTAATATTTATATTGTACTCACTACAGGCATGCTGACTGTGCAGGGTTCGAATTTCCCTACAGCACCGACAGCAATTGTTGTAGAAAGGGCCTTCCACTGTGTTGTAAATCCTAGGCTCGACAGCAAGCTTTTTGCTGTCGAGTCACCAGGCCCAGCAATGGATTATGCAATTTTACTTATAGAATAGGCCTATTCTTAACAAATTTACGAAGCATGTTGCTGTAAGAATAAATTTCTGTAGTAAAGCCATAGCCCACAGCAACTATTTGATGATGCATTTTGAGGAAATTCAAACCCTGCTGTGATACTGTAGGAGGAAAGTGAAGGTGGTCAGACCTGATGATAGTAGGCTGACAGAGGAGTGGTTCAGACATGATGCTGATTGGGACATGGTAGGAAGTTGGAATGTGGAGGTGGTCAGACATGATGCTGAATGTGATATGGTAGGAAGTTGACAGAGGTGGTTTAGAAAAGGTGCTGATTGGAACAGCGTAGGAAGTTGGAAAGAGACATATGATGCTAATTGAAACATGGTAGGAAGATGACAGTGGAGGTGGTCAAACATGATAGGCATGGGACATGGTAGGCAGTTAAAAGAGTAGATGGTCAGACATTATGCTGATTGGGATGTGGTGGGACATTAATAGAGTAGTAGTCAGACATGATGTTGATTGGGATATGGTAGGAAGCAGAAAAAGGAGGTGTTCATACATAATGGTTATTAAAACATGGTAGGATGTCAGAAGAGTTCATCAGAGATGATGCTGATTGGAACATTGTAGGAAGTTGGAAAGTAGAGGTGGTCAGACATGTTGCTGATTGGGATGTGGTAAGAAATTGAAAAGGAGGTGGTCAGACACAACATTACTTGGAACATGATAGGAAGCTGAAAATGGAGGTGGTCAGACATGTTGCTAATAGCATGAAGTAGGAAGTTGAAAGAGGTGGCCACTAGGCTTTGAGTTGCATTTGGGAAGTTTACATAATGGTGCTTGGGATGTGGTCAGAAAAGTTGTCGATCAGTCATGGGTTCGGGCATGATGAGATCTTGAAGTATTACAATACAATATGTTACATTACACATTCTCATTTATTCTGGAAACTATTTTAAAGTACTGGTCTCCAACAAGGTCTAGGTTTGATTGGATCAAGGATGGCTGTGGTAGCAGCCAAGGTAACAGAAATTTCTCCAAGAATCATTTAAAAAAATATATAATTTTTTAAAATAAAGGAAAAGTTAGGAAAGTATTAAGGTAAAATGTGACCAAATTATAAAATAATTCTAATTAATGTAATAAGTTAACATAAATAATTAAATGCTTTGCCGTATTCCTGGTCCAACATACATTAAGCTTTGTGAATAATTAATGCATGATTTTGTAGCTATTTGACTAAGAACTTACAATACTCTCACTATCTATAATTAAACTTACCAAACCAAAAGCCACCATTGTTGGATTGTAATAGATCATCTACAATATCATCCATTTCCTCTGAATCGATGATAACCAGGTCAGCATTGGGTGTTGCAACACAGCTCTGCCTTGCTTCCACCCACGTCATATTAACTGAATCAACAACTTGATAACACTTATTATTTAGCTTGTTGAGTTGATAACCAACCGGACACACTAAAAGGCAACGTTCAAATCACACAAATGGAAAGTGATCTCGAAGCAAATTAAGGCCTGTTACATAACATTGCAGCATTATATACGCCTGGGTCAGACGACTCCAATATTTTTGGAATATTGACAAATATCGGTTCATCCAGGCAAGTATTCACGAAATAGACCCAGAATGCAAATAGAATATGCACGCACTAATGCACTGCTTCCTTTGACAATGTCATTCATCAAATAGAAATATAGTGTTCCTGGTCAGAGCTTAGGTATGCAAAATTAGCTAGGCCAAATTATTTAGATTTTTTTTCGTTTGTCGTAAAGTGTTTTAATAATTGGCACTATAGAAATTTTAAAATCTACCTATCTAATTAGAAAGGCAATTATCTAATGATTTCTGCAAAAACTAGATCAAGTCTCTTCCAAACAAACCTAAAGATTAGAGAAAGAGGGGAATGATATTAATACTCACTTGTTTATACCAATTGATTTAATGCCCCCATAAAATTATCTAATTTCACTGATTGTACAACTACATCCGCATACATCTTCTTCTTCTTCTTCTTCTTGTTAGCTGCTGCCTTGAACATGCTGAAGATTCTGCAGTTTGATGTGTGTGTGTGGCTGTGGTCAGGGTTGCCTGACGTCTACCTTCAAATTTGTTTTCATCCACTTATACATTACAGTTTATTTTTGTCTGTCCAACCTTCAGACATCTCTTGGACTTGTTCATTAATTATTCTACAGGAATTTTTTTTTTTAAATTTTTATATTATATGTATTTTTTATTTTAAAAATAGATTCTAATATATACCTAGCTCAGCAACAGTTCTAGTTGATAGAGTCAGGCTGCCTTCCAGTTCCCCTTCACCATATGTGACAGTAATAAGCTCACACCTGTATTCAGTATCAGGAGTTAGATCCTCTAATTTTGCAGATGTTTCAAATGGACCATAAGTTTTGTCATGGATAATTGAACCATTGGAAAACCCTACCACTAACTGATAGGCAGACACGTCACAATCAAATGCTGATAGTTCCCACGACAGATCAATTTGGTACGGAATCTCAGAGACTGCAGTAAAACTTCCAGGCTGTTGCTCATCACTATCAAAGCCTAATGTAATAAATAATATTAATAATAAATATATTTTTATTATCTTAGAATTGTAATAAAACGGATTGAGTAATTAATATTATATATTAATATTAATAATAATAATAATATTTATTAGAACATACACTTTTAGATCGGTGGCACTTAAAAATCATTTGGTGTGTTCAAATTGAAATAATAAACAAACAAATTAAAATTATTAACTACTATATAGTACAAAAAGTGACAAAATTATGAAACAAAACATGTATTACTTTAGTACGGAAAAAAAATAAATAAAAACATTTTAAAAAATACACAAGTATTAGCGCTACTGATGATGCAGGTAGCTCCTTAAAAAGCATGAGAAGGAAAAACAATTGCATCCCTTCTCACAAGTTTCAAAGAGCCAAATGATTATATCTCAATTTTTTTTTTCAAAAAACAATTTTTTTATCTATTCAGGTACTCCATACTAATGTATTACATTATTTATGATAAATGGCTGAAGCCCAATATAATAATAAATAAATAATAAAACTATAAATATAACAATAACAATATAATTATTTTTATCATTAAAAATATAGTAAAACATTATAATTTTTAATATACTCAAATGATTAGATTTTTTTGAAAAACAAAATATTTATATTTACACAACTGTACTATAATTATTTATAAAAGTTCCATATTTTCTAGGCTTTGATATCCCATTACATTCAATGTTATCTTTAGATATCCCAGTTTCAACTGTTACAGATTGTGAAACAGTTTGTAATAACTCTGATTTTGTATCAATGGCTCCCTGCTAATGTTATTTTACCTTGTGATGCCAATATCAGGCCTTAAGCAAAAAAGGAGGAGAGAATATCATTATGAAATTTGTAAAATAATTGATTTTTAGTTTAAGTATTTAGAATATTTCAAACCCTAAAATTAGAAGGTAATTATTTTAATCAGAAATCACTCAAAATCTTTTCATATCTGTTTTCTTAATCTAAAGTTTTACTGAATATTAAGATACACGTAGATAAATCAATATGGACTGTATCATCTTAAGGTACTTTGAATAAAACAAGCTGTGGATTGCCATATCTACACACCTTTATATTCCTCTTTGCATATATAAGGAAAACCTTTGCTGCAGTTTCTGTCTGAGTACCTTCCATCCATGTTGAAAGTCACACAGTTCTCTGATGTGGTGTTAGTTGGTTCATTTACAGCCCATGATATATTTCCTTCTTGAACATAATCACAATTTACCCAAGCCCATGCCCTTTCCTTCTGCTGGTCACTTAATCCTGTCAACAATACAAATGTGACACTTATTCATCTTTTTCGGTAGTGGATTACCATTAAGCTGATTGAAGTCAGCTCATTTTCATTGTAGTTGCTCAAAGAGTATTCATAGCGAAAAAAAAAATATTTAAAATGTTTCAAACAATGTTTATAAATGAATTTTATAAATTAAACAAAATTGACTCCCAGGAAGAAAAGAGAAACACAGAGAAAGTGCATAGTTCAAGGATATATTCTACACAAACTGTAAGTACAGGATGCTCTTACCAACCCACCAAACTTGGTCAGCTTCATTCATAGAGTTCTGTATGTACCTAGCCTCAGCCTCATCCTTGATGACTATAAGGTCACTGTAGGGTGTCTGGAGGCAGTCTTTTCTTGCCTCCTCCCAAGTTTTTATTTCAGTTACAAACTTGTAGCATGTCTCTCCATCATAGCCAGGAAGATAGCCATCAGGACAACCATCTGCAAGAAAATAACATACAATGTCTTTTTATAGAATCAACTTTTTAATCTTTTAATAACAATAATAATAAAATAGGATTAATAAAAACAATCAGTGCTGCTATAACACAAATGAAATTAAGATAATTGAGATATACTAGTCTAACAGTTTCAATAGAATAGAAAGTTTATAATAAATTTATGACTAAATGATTGCTTGTCGTCAGATGCAGAAGAGCAGTATTAAGTCAAACAATTTAAAAACATGAGCACTGTCATACGTCGTGTTCACATTAGATAAATTTTGACACTAATAATACTATAAAAATTAACTATAATTAAATCTTTAATAATTGTTAAATAAATACAAGGTGTCACATTCATGGAAACATATGTCGCATAAAGGCATAAAAATTATTCGTCCCATAAGCCCACCCCTTGCACACGTCCAAACCCCTAGATCTAAAAAATCGGGAGACGGGAGAATGTGCAGATGAAGTGCTCTCATTCTTGCCATTTAGTGAAAAGCGCCCTCAACGTTGAATACTGTCATAGCATTAACGTCATTCGAGGTGTACAAATGTAATTTATAAGATACCTATTGGGATTTTCATTCATGTGGAATAGTAATTTCATCTATCTTCCCTTGCAAATCCCATGTTTTTTTATGGGCCGTATGTTAAAAGAGGTGTTTTGTACTGTAAGTACAACAAATCTAGGCCTAGTTTTTGAAATTGGGTACTCACAATCCAATTAGAAGGGTTGCAACCTCTGCCTTTGGATATTGTTACTAAGGCCCCACAATGTAAACACGCTAGTGAAGCAACAGGTTCTGCCCTATTCTGATTGGTCATTCATAAGTCTGACACTTTGGAATACACAAATCAATCGTGATGTTGGTAGTCTATGAGTGAGATACTTACCTGGATAACCGACTAATTGTCTTTACGCTTGGCGTGTGGGGGGCCCCAAACCGAGTGTTAAGCCGAGCGACACAACGGGCACTCCGAGTGCCGGTCGAGCTTGACACTCAGTTTGGGGCCCCCACACGCCGAGCATAAAGACAATTAGTCGGTTATCCAGGTAAGTATTCATGAAATAGACAGGTATATTGGGTCGCCTCAGTGGTGTAATGTATGTACCACGATAAGTGTACTTACAAACTTTACTGTAGCTGATGTTGAAACCTTTCGTAACAGACGTTCCATCACTTTTAAAGCGTAATGACAGACCATTCAAATTACTATCAACATTGTCTGGCAGACTGCTACCTGAGAGTTCCTGATTAATGTAAAGAAAAGAATGCAGATGTTTTTTTTTAATGCTTGCAGCCAATATAGGGCATAGAATTTAAACAATGATTAAAACATTATTTCTAATTATACTCGCACAATGCTAAATGGCATGCATGATTGGTAGCAGATGTGTTATCATTTCTCTCTCCCTTATATTTTTTAAATCAATGACTTCACTTATGTTTTTAAAATATTTTTTTAATTCTTCTTTTTCCACTTTGAAAAAAAAATATTAATAATCTTTCAAATACAATAATAGTTATCTGTATACAGTACAAGACAGTTGGCCAAAGTGGTTTCAATTCCGGATACTGAAATTTTTTTCCAGAATGCATTAATGAGGGGGCATAGGTGCAAGCATTTTGTGGAATATAAATATATTACTTTAAAACAAAAAAGTAACCCCAAGTGGCTTACATGCCTTGTTAGGTGTGCATTCAATGAAAAAAAAAAAAAAGATTGAGTGTAAATAATATTACAAATAGAACAAATAAATTGCTTACTAAGTAATCTCGATCAGATCCATCATTTACTCCACCGATGATTAAACGATCATAGAAACCTTCGGTTGTAAAGTCATTAAACCTGAGGCGAATATTGTATTCACCAGCTGTTTGTATGATCCAAATACAATCTGCATCATTGGGGTAAGTGAGTGGGTAGCCTGGGGATGTTATCACTCCTTGGTCTTCAAATATACTTTCAATCATACACCCATCTGGAAAAGAAATCCAGATTTAATTATATCTGTAGCATTATTTTTTTTATTATTTATTTAGTTTTACTTTAGTAATAGTAAAGATATACTGGCTGATAAATAATAATAAAATACTTCAATTAACATTGTATAAAAAAAATGTTATCTTCTTTATTCTTTTCTTTTTTCTTTATTTATTACTTCTAATTTTCATTGTATAATTCATATTAAAACATTTCAATGACTTGATTAGCATACTTTATGACTAAAATATTGTATTATTAAATAGTAGTATACAAAGAAAGCATGTAAATATAAAAGCTTGTTTTCTTATCTCATAAGTTATGTAGTTCAAGAGGTTTAGTTTAAGTTCAATTTGTATAAACTGTACCAGTGATGTACCAATACTTATTATAATATGTATTATAAGGCCAAATGAAATTAATTGTTAGTTTCACGTCCGGGATTTGAAATTATTTTTTGGTAAGGGTATTTACTATTTGCTTTTTACTATCCTATATACTAATGATAAACAGACAGATAAGTGAGCAATTTCACAGTAAATAGACATGCTCCAAGCAATATTTTTTAGGAAGCTATAACTAAAGATTTTATTGTTTAAAATTAAAAATTTTTACATTTTTATCATCATATCAATGAGTATACATATTAAAAATCATTTCATGATCACACAATTCACAGTAAAAAATATAATGATAAATTGACATACTTTTTAGCCATATTTCACCATACAAAAATGTTACATGACAAAAATGTCTAAAATTAGATGGAGGATATTTTTTTTAAATTGTATTATAAGGATGGATTCATTATTTCTATAAGAAATATATTGGAAACGAATAAGATAAAACACTAGAAAGAAAAATAAAACCCTTTTTATTAAAAAAATATGCAATTTGATGGTTTTTTGTAACAGACGTAACATTGTATGTCAAAAAATTTAGGAATTTAAAAATGGCCCAATATTCCTAAAAAAGAAATATATCTGCTACTTTTAAATGTTTATCAAATTAGTGAATATATACAGTAAGTAAAAAAGAAAAATTGGTAATCACGCACTTTATTTTTGGTGCATCTACAATAGAAAGTCATTGACCCAAATGTATGTCAAAATCCTGTTCGTCCGTTATATGGGAATAGGATTTGTAGTGTATTAAAATACAAACATGCATATTTCTTTTGAAAAGATAATTTAACTATCTTATAATACCCCTTTTCCAAAACATTGATATCATAGTTTTATCAGAGTTTAGCCAAAATCATCTGTATTCTATTTTTCCATGAAAATGTTAGGATATCATATCCATTTACTGTGAAATTACTCAAATACTAAAAATATATTTTTTTTTATAAAAGTAAAATAAATCTTTGTAATTATTTCTGCCATATATGTTCCCACCTCTTCTTAGGTGCTTGACATAATTCTTTCAGATAGTCATTATTTTTATTGTTCATGGAAAAAATGAATGTTTTTTTCAAAAATAGCAAATAGTAAATTATTTCATGAGGCTCCAACATTTTATGAGGGTATTTACCATTTGCTTTTTACCATCCTATATACAAATAGTAAACAGGCTCGTACATATTTAAAATAGTTTTTTTTTTATAAAAGAAGTAAAATGAATCTTTGTAATGTATTTCTGCCATTAATGTTCCCACCTATTCTTAGGTGCTTGACATCATTTTATCAGTTAGTTACTATTTTCATTGTCCATAAAAAAATAAATGTTTTTTTGAAAAATAGCAAGCAGTAAAATTTTCATGAGGCTCCAAAATTTGACGAGGGCGGGGACGTGAAACTATCAATTAATCTTACTTGTCTTTAATGTTATGTTATCAATACATCTGATAGCCAAATTATAGTACTTGACTTAATTTTCCAAATCATGTGAAAATATTCTACCCACGATGTATACATATTCATTTCATTATCCGATAAAAGCAATCACTAATTGATAAGTAAACATGATAGATGCAAAGACATACCATCAGATACTTGTACTTTAAACCCAGATACACTCTCTCTAATAGTAGCAGCTAGCCAAATGCCATCACTAGGTGTAGTGTAGGTTGCAAGGCCTGTTGTTCCTGTTAATACTCTCAACCTTGATGCTGCACTGGCAGGGTTGGAGCCTGTGCCAAATTCTAGGGTCTCATATAGATTTTCTGCAAAAAGAAAAAAAGGAAAGAAAAATGATGTTTTAAGTCCTTATTATAAACAAAAACAATACAAAAGTATAATTGGGAACTAATTCTTGGGTAAAATCTCGGTCAAAATCAATCAAACGAAAGATTGTGTTTAATGAGTGCCAATGCTGGCAACAGCATTATGTCAGCATTTTTATATCCAATACCAAAATTTAGAAAATCGAGGCAGCTAAACTTTATTGACGGCTTCTGGTGCCTACTACTGTATATTATTTAATCTTAATTTCTGGGCCAACTTCCTATTTTCATTGGCCCAGTAGTATATTTTAACAAAATATAAAAAAAGTAAAATTTATTTATTTATGTCTGGCTGTCTTGTAGCATTGCATATCTGAATAGTCAATATATTTAACAATTCAAAGTCAAAGTCAAAGTCAAACTTTATTTATCCTTTAACAACAAAGTACTTCAATTTAGTTTTCTGAAGTTTACATACCTAATTGCAGCTGTGAAAAACTTAGTTGTATGTGTTTGCCACGTTCTGCCCTGATGACCCATTGACAGTAGCCTGCATCAATTGACGCGTATGACACGTCACGTTTTTCACCCTCTGCCAAGCTGTACTCATAAATGCAATCTAGAAAACCAAAAGTGCAACATTACTTCAATTCCTATTGTTATGTGTTGATTGTTTAATAATTCCTTCATTTTTTTATATTTATATTGGTCAAGACAGTAGTTGTACATTTTCATTAATAAGAATAGTCAAATCTGTTAAATTCAAATAGTGAAAGGCTTGCTTATAAACTAAGATGTATTATCTCTTAAAAATGACAAAAAAAATCATAAAAAAATAATTTTGAAATTAACTATCTTGCTCATTTTGCAGCAACATACAAATTATAAACTTGAGCATAGAAATTATTGAATTTAAATAATGTGTATCCTCATTTTTAAACTGGATAATTATAATAAAAATAATACAACACTTCCAGTGAAGTGTTTCTCTCATTTTTGCTGTGGTAAAATGATGAGTAAACATTTTTTAAATATATTAATTTCTATGTTCAAATTTTTATGTTAATTCAAAATCAGCAAAGTTAATTCAAAATTTGTTTTTCGAATGTTTCTTTGGTATTTTGCATGGACAATACATTTTTATACCAAAACCTTGTCCATCTATCAAATTCTATCTGAAAAAACATGACATGCCTAAATATTGTCATGATGACATCACATCATGACTATATATAGGCATATCAAGACTATGTATGGACAGTGTGGACAGAGCTTGAGCCTTTTTAGTAAGCCTAGGGAGTGAAGTTGATTTCAGTTGACTGTCACAAGGTTTGAACCCATGACCCTGGAATTGGATGCAAAGTATCTTAACCACCCAGCTATAAACTACAGTACACTCTCATCATTATCATTCTTATAAATACTCTACATCAACATTTTCATAATAAAGTAAAACGTCATTTTACAAACGTCGATTTTACGAATGGTCCTTGCCCCTGATGACATCACCATCGATCAATGGTGAAAGGAACGAAGGAAGGAATTCGGCAATCTAACAACTAGAAAGAATATGACAGAAAGGTCCATAAAACAAGATGTTTGAATAGGAGTTAAAATAACATTTTGTTAAAATGGATATGAAACCATTTTCAAAAATCCAATGAATGAAGGTTTTGGAATCCTTGGGTAGTCAATAAACCAGTCACAAAATACTAACCTTGAACAATTTGTTGAATTTGAGAAATTAATAAAAACATTTGTAAAGTAATTTCTCCGAAAAATGGCCGATATGTCGATACGCCATCTTTGTTTTCATCATAGAGCTAATAAACAACTAGAGTGCTGACAAGATGGCGCAGCAATGCAGAGTTGTGTATGTGTACCATCCAAGATGGCTGCCGTAGGAAAGCGCCACCTTCAGGCTTAGTATGCATATTATTACCATAAATAAGCCCTCTGACTGAATATTATTTCATAATGACAATTAGTATTGATAATGACAAATTATTAAACTGTCGTAGCCAAAACGAGGCCAAGTGAAGCATCTTATTCAAAAATAAAGTACATTACACCCAAACACCGCAACGCTCGAGTTTCAAACATAGCTGTACTGAACTTTCTGTGTAAATTGAGGGCGCCATTGAAAATGATAGTGCTCAGGCGAAATTTGATTGGCTGAATCTATGGCAGCCATCTTGGATGGTAGGCTGAATATATGGCAGCCATCTTGGATGGTACACACACACAGCTCTGCGTATTTCGAACATCGAATACATTGCTGTTAGCGCTCTAGTATTCTTATTATATCTCTATGGTTTTCATACGCATTCTAAACCCACTGCGATCCTTCAGATAATTTGAAACAACCGCGTTATATTCCCGACTGTAAGTGATTTGTGATTGGTCAATCAAATTGCACTTTGACACGATAATCGCCGACGAAAAGTAAACAAACAAGATGCCGAACGGTTGTTGTGTATTATTGGGCTTCAATAGAACGCAAATAAGTCACCCAAAAGTATCGTTATTCCTCTTTCCCAAGAAAGATAAAAATATAAAAACTTTTAATAAGTGGGTAGAATAAAGGACAACGAGGAAGAAGATGTTGAGGAAATGCCATCTCAGACCAAAAAAGAAAAACAACGAAATCTATATACCGACGAAAACGGGAGGTTGAAAGTGTAAGTAAGTAAAGTAGCTAGGCTAGGCCTAAGTAGCATATATTATTAGCTAGGCATGGCCTAGCCTAGTCTAGTTAGGGTGGGGGTGGTGGCTAGCCCTCGGCGGCCCTACCCTACGTAGGCCTAGCAATTTTGCGCCAAAGATTGCTATGAAGATGATGTACAAAATCGTACCTTACTAATCTAGGCCTAGGCCTATACTACTTCTTAGGCCTAGCAGCAGCAGTTCTGGGGTCTACTATCTACACTACTAGGCCTAAATCTTATGCATTCGCCGTAAATGCTAATCACATGTTTCAGCTAGTATTTG